ATTTGACACAACTTACTTGACAATTTGAAAATAATTATCATATTTTCCCAGCTCTAGATAAATATATTACCTCAATTTACTAGTAATCTTCAATATACAATATATAACTCACAAAACTGGGAGTGTTACAATACCAAAACCTTTCACAGCACTAGTTACCAGTTACCAGAACTGTAGGAAATCTTTAGCTAAATATCAGCTTAATATTTAAAGTATAGAAATAGATACGGCTAAGCTGTGGAAAACAACAGTGCAATCGAACATCAAGGACCACAAAATATATTCTTTTTCCTTTTTAGGCTTGTATATCTAACTGCATTGTCCTACTTAATGGCATTATCAGCTGAATATAAAACTCCTTTATTTTAATGCATTTAAAAAGTAATCCTATTTTTTTTTAGGCATGATTAATTTACTCTTGAAATGCAGTTCCTATGAAATATCCAGACTATTTATAAATTCCTATACAATGAATAACTTGTAGCTAAAATGAAATATTTTAGGCAGAGTTTTTATAACTTTTTAGTAGTGGCTTGGTTTTTGTTTTCCAACTAAAACTTGGAAGTGCATAAAAATGAAGAGAATATATAAATAATATAAATAGAATATCTTAGTTACATGAAAGAAATCAATCTGTTTACCTACATTATGTAGTATGGGGTTTATCTTAAACACTGTTACTAAGTTTAACTTCTCAGTCCCAGTTACTCTGTTAAACTTTTTCTAAAAACAACAGAAATAATTCTACAAATAGGCACAGTCCAGCTGCCTTAGATCTCTCTGTTCCCTATAATGAGAAATCTTTATACTTTTTTCTTCTAACACAAATGTCTCTAAACAAAACTTGAAAAAAATAAAGAGAAAATAATAATAAAAATAAGAAAAACGAACATCTTATGTGTTCTAAAAACCAATAATTATCACCTTTTAAAGTGTTGCTTATTTTGGGGGAAAGGCATCCTATCACCGATCTAACACAGAAGTTGCCATATCAAAGTCAATCAGGGGATGCCATGGAAGAGACAAACAAGTTCCAGGCATCATGGCACTGGGCGGCAGGGAGAGGAGAGGACAGGCAGTGCAGCCAAGCACTATGGGGACCACTCTGGGAGGCTATTCCACTGGTCAACAGTTACCATTTGCGGAATTTTCACTTCTCACTCTTCATTTCAGCTTATTGAAAGAATTTAGTGTTTTAAGATTGTCACAAGATGTAGGATGAGTTCAATGGGGTGGGGGCTAGGAGGGTGGACAGGAAAGAGCCTACATGCCAAGATTGAGACGTATTGTTTTTACAGCTTAATTAAAAACTATACCCTTAAAGAATTTGTATCCATAGAGCATGAAAGCCCACTATGTTGCCAGCCCAGAGTAAATAAATGTCTTACTTTAGAAGTGATGTGTAGCGGTAACACCTATTATTATTTTCTAAGTCATAACTTTGCATGAATAATTCCTTCCTTGATTCCTGTTAAACTTAACTTTCACGAAGTCCAAAATATTGCCCTCTTTATTCATAAAAAAACTGACTTAAGAATCTCTAGGCAGTTATGCTTTGATAGTTGTATCAAGATGTAAAAATCACTAAGTGAAAGGTTGTGGGCAATAAGTCACTGGGAAAGATCTTATCATATAATTAAATAATTTGTATGGGGGGGTCAAGAATATATTATTTTTCAGGTACTATTTTAAGGAATTATTAATCATGTGAAAATCAAGATAAGTTAGCACAAGAAAAACAGATCTAAATCTAGATCTAAATCTAGCAAAAACACCCACCCTCTTTGAGGACTTAAGTGGCACATTCCCTTTACTTGCAATCATTTTGTTTCTTTCCTTTTCATGCCTAATGAATCATTTAATGTGTGTGTACTGCTATGTATACTCAAGCATGAACTATGTCAAGGGGATAATCTACTGATAAGAGAAAATGAAAATGTGCAAACTGTAGGAGACTGAGCTGGGTTTAACTTACTTTAGTACATATCCTTCTGAAATGTTCCTCGGGTCTACGTTGTGAACCAATGAACATGTCACATGGCATCAAACGGAGCAAATGAGGATTGTTAGTGACATGGAGGTGGAGAGAGGACTGGAGAGAGGCCAAACGTGTTGGTCAAGTCAATCTCCTGTGTTCCAAAATACAGCCAGCAGGAAGGTAGGGCTTATCTAGAACCAGAATTAGAAATGATTGAGAAGAAAGCTCAATGAGGATGATGAATGAGTTTCAACTCATTGCTGGGATGAGCAAGAAGATGGACAGGAAAGAGCAGGTTGGGGAACAAGCTATTCTGGGTACCTTTTGAAGACCTCAGACCTCAGATCTGTAATATCTAGGAAGGATAAGATACAGCTAGGCCAGGGCTAATCACCTGAGGAATCTTGCTGAGAGGAAGGTTTTGATTTGGTAGGTCTAGAGTGGATCTCAGATTCTGCATTTCTTTAATCTCCTGGGTGCTGTTGATGCTGCTGGATCACAGAGCACATCTTGAGTAACAATGATCTAGACCAGTGTCGTCCAGTCGAATTTTGCAATGTTCTACATATGTACTGTCCACTACGGTTACTGAGCGCCTGAAATGTGACTAGTGCAACTGAGAAATGGAATTTTGAATTAAATTTAAATTTAGATAGCCACATCTGATTAGTGGTTACAATATCAGACAACAATAGATCCAGGAATTCATGAGTCACCTCTTCTCAGTCCAAGCAATACTTATCACAGTCACTAAATTATTTAACCCATCAATTCATTTAGATTATCTAGCAAGCATCCTTTTTTAAAATACAGACTATAAAATTAGTTTCTTTAAGTTAAACAACTCACCACATGTGCTTAAGCCAGGGAGAGGTGGTTGATGGAGAAAGGAGCGTAGATGACGGCGAGAATTTGAAAAACCATGACTGTCTTGGAAAAGAAACCCAGAAAGGGAAGTGGAAAGACACCAAAGAGAAATACTGAGTACTCAGAATTTTACTTAGGCCTGACTGTCCCTTTGCTTCTTAATGGAACTGAAAGAAAGTAGATTTTGGCTGATTCTCTCCCCCACACCCCAATCGTCCAGGTGTGGGAGAGCCTATCAGGGAGAAAAGATATCAATTATAGCCATTAGGGAGCAATCAGGTGCAGGCAGGTGTTTCTCTGGAGCAAAGTGCAGAGGCCCCATCTGCACTCCCCAGAGCTGTGATCTGATTCCACGGAGAAGCTTTCTATACTCTCTCTCTCTCTCTTTATTCTGTAACCCCTTCTACCATAAAGAAGATGAATTCTCTATGACGCTGACAGGGGCCTAAGGAGGCTCTGAGGGTACTGTCCTGGCAAACAGGTGTCAGTGAAGTCATTTGGGCTCTGCCCAGCCATATGGAGACAGAGCATACAGAGAAAATTGTTCTCAATTAACAAAAACAACAAAATTCAATTGTCATTTTAAAGAATCTCTCTCATCCAAAAACCATCTGCAACAAAATTCTAGCTAATTAAGGATTCCATTAAGAGACTCAGGCTCTGTCAACTGAGCTAGCCAGGAATGCACTGCAGGATTCCATTAACTGAGATTTTAAAGCATATATGAAGGATGTTACCCAAGAGTAAAAAGATCATGAAAAAAAAATTCAATCCTTTACAACACACTCTTAAATTTGGAACATGTCATAGCTTGAAGAGGGTGAAAGTCAATCAAGATTTTTATACGAATACATTCTTTGTTCTAGAGTTCTTCCCTACCTTACCCCCACCTTTCCTTTTTTGGTAGAGCTGGATTGGGATCTGTGATCTCAGAAGAGTTCTGGGAATCTGGCACCGAGTTGACTTCAGAAAAGTGTTCAGATGAGCAGGACATCATGTAGGTAGAACTATAAGAAGGACTGGAAAAGGGGACCTCTGACTTCTTATGTATGGATCAAATCAGAATAATTGAGTAATTAGCTCATGACTCTTAAAAAAAAAAACTACTTGATATAATTCTCTTTGAAAACAGATTTCCACTTATCCATAACTTGGGTAAAAGATATAGTCAGATATACTCGGTCAGGAACCCATTAGGTTCATTTATTTTTAAGATATTCAAATTTTATGATTTCATTAGTAATTAAATACCCAAGAATAAATAAGAATAAAGTATAAAAAAGTTAAACTCCTTTGATACAATTAAATTATATATGCCTGACCATTGTTCATTTTAAATGCTCTCTTATTAATGTTTCAATTTAAACACTGGGCAAATTATTGTTTAGAAAATATCAATGATATGCATCTCAAGATTATAAGTACATAGGCTATGTTTATACATAGACATGTATATGTGTATGTGTGTGTATATACACATAAATGTGTGTATGTATATATCTGTGTGTATGTATCTATTGAGCACCTGGTGGGCTACTTTATGAAAATTGTCACCACTGGGTCAGTACTCTGTTTACTTATATAGAACATTTTAAAAATTATAATTAATTTTTTGGTACTTAATAGCTAATAAAAGCTTATTTAAGGATATTTTGGTGACTTTTTGATATGCATTCCTTTGACTTTCAAAGATTTGATCATTGTAACATTGACTTCTAATGAGTTACATTGAAGTATAGTGGTTTATAAAAAGAAAAATAATATCCACCTGGTAGGAATTAAAAATTACATGAGATAATATTAACAGCACAAAGTCCTTCAGAAAAAATTTAAATCTCTTCTGTTGGGAAGTTTGTCAGAAGTCACCATAAGCTAGTGAGTGAGTCTAGGCGATCCTTCATTATACAAATCTCAGTTGAGAGCTCAGGAAATTCCTGGATGTTAACAGTCTACTATGTTATAAATTCAAGCAGAATATTAAATAATTATTAAATTGAAATAAAAAACAAAAATAAAATGTGATAATTCAGGTTTAGAAAGTTGTAATGAGTTTTGTTAGGCAATGGAGCATGTAATTTTATAAAAATACCCAGGGAATTTTCTTAATGTGCACACCTACTATTTATGATAGGTTGAAATAAAATCGACTTGCATAAGATGTGCATCATTTGTTGATTATGGCACAGACACATGTTCACAAAGTCTCAGGTATAGAATATTTATGCAAAATTCCACATTAAAAAACAGAAAAGTGCAGTGCCTTTAACCAACAAAAACATACTTGAGTAGTAATAAATTAAATTCCATTAAAACTGACATTAAAACTACTAAGGTTACAATATTAGATGTGACATGCAAGGAAAAGAAAGACATTTCAGGCAGGAACATCGTGCAATAACATTTGAATTCATTCATAGCATTTGACGAGTTTTAACCATATTCTTTGATCACTGAGCGCTAGGAACCAGAGGTATTGTCAATCTAACATTCAAAACATAACTCAACTTACATCTCCAGTCTCCTAACCAGTGATTTTAAGAAAAGGGCCAATGCTTCCCACAATGAAACCCAGGCAGTTTTAGCCACACATCGTTATGCAGTTGCACCAGTAAGACAATTCCAACAGACCAGATCAAAGGAAAGTAAACATTTTGCAATTCTATCTTTTAGACAATGCAATCATCTTTGATTCCTCCTTCCTCTTCACTATTGTGAACATTTTTTAACATGTCAGGTTTGCACAATAAGAAAATGGCCTTGTGGAATGTATTTTTTGGCACAAAAATATTTTCTAATATTTCAAATCAAAATGTTCCCCACAGCAAAATGTCAAGCCATAAGAGGTGCTTCAGAGGTGCTTACTTATTTATGCAGAAAACTACACAAACAGTCAATTGCTTCCAAGAATTTTGTATTGAGTAGCAATTACTTCTCTTCCAAGGAATAGCACCAATATGATTACACCTCAGACTGGGGAGTGTTCCTTCCAAGTTCTTTAATTCCCTGGAGAATTCGCTTCACATGGCCCACTTTCAGTATACCCAGGTCCTAAAAAAAAAAAAAAAGAGTAGAAGGAAAATGAAAATAAGAATTAAAGGCAGAAAAAATTTTAAAAAAGAAGAAGGAAAAGGAAGAAGTTTATTGATAATAGAAAACATAGGATTAAATATTTAACCAGCGAGTAACATAATTAGCATTCAGTTCACTCATTTTAGTTATATTAAGTGATTCAGAAAGTGAAAGCTAGAAAAATAAGTTAATAAAACAAAAGCAACCTGACATTGAAGAATTGTCAATTGGTAAAAAATCACATTCTGCACAAATTCTTAACTGTGACATTCTCAAAAATTAAATACAGTGGGATTTCTTCAAGAGTCTAATTTCTCCTTTTTTTTTCTTCTTAAGATGGGCTCTTTTGGAATCTCTGAGAAAAATAATGTAGGACACCAGGGCAACCACAATTAGTTCTAAGTCAACATTTCTCATGCTAAAATGTTAAATTTTAAAGTGAGACCTAATTCTATAGGAAGATACCAGTGCCTGCTGCCTAAATTTGTACTGTAAATGAATTTGTACTTGCATTAGAAGTCTTTGATTTGAGAGGAATATTTAACTTAAATACTCTTTATACTTTGATATGTGTAAATGTAACAAATTACTTAAGCATAGTTATCTGTAGGTTGATGCTTTCTCTCAAAACACCATTGGCTCCTTTCCCTCAGAAATATTATGCTTGATTCTTAAAGAACTATCTTTCAATAAGTGCCAAAAATTCAATATTTATCTTTCATAAACAAATGATGACTACTAGTGTGCATGGAAGGTACTTTGCAAATATCTGTTGCAGGAATGAATCAAATCCATCTGAGATAACCATAACATTCACTATCTGAAAAACTAAGAAAGAGGTAAGGTTTTCAAATCCTACAGTGTCTTTAAGTGTAATGAGTATAATTTGTTTGCTAATGCATGAAGTCAAGTGACCTCTTCACAAAACAAGATTTGAAATATTTAAAAATTATTAAAAAGATGGCTTTCAAAGCAGCTTAAAAAATGGAGTCATAAGATTACTTGTCTAAGAAGATAAAGATTCTAAATATCCACCCTGTTTTGTAAATTAACAGCATTATTTATTTTTAAACTTTTAAGTGAAATAGATAAAATTGGTTTTAATCCTCTCTCCCTCTCTTTCTCCCCCTTTTATCCTTTATGAGTTCTTTGAGTTCTAGAGCATCAATGTTATCGATGATTTTGAAGCCTTCTGGAATATACTCTTTCTACAGCCAATTCTATTCAAGATAACACTTTTATAATATTTGACCCAGAAAAATACTTTCTCATACAACTAAGGGCATCCAAAATTAGTCCTATGACACTATACATTTCCTGAGTGTGTGCTAAAATATCAACTCTTAAAAGCAAGGCCAAATCCTAGAGGAAGATATCAGTGACTGCTCTCAAATTTGGAATGTAAATGCATTTACAGTCACATTTAGATTATTTTGTTTGAGTAGAATATATAAATTTCCTTTATATTTTGTGATAACATAGGTATCTAATTATAAAATATATTTTAATATAAATATTTTAACCCATACACAATGTATTCCCAAGAATAAAACTTCCAGGGGGGAAGCAGACTCTACTCAGAATTGCTGTGTTAAGGTAATGAAATGTATGTTTCCCACAGAGCTACACTAATTTCTTAGTTATATTTTCTTTACTACAGTTTTAATTCAGTACTTTTATGTTTTCTAGGGTATACGCTGTGATAAAGTTATGCTGTGACATTTGTTTTATTTTTGTCATATATTTTATCCTATATCACAATATATTTATTTTTATCATATTCTTCATTATTGGCTTTTTCTTTTTTTGGATGAATAGGCCTAATTTTGCCAAACCATGCTTTACAGATATTCACTTATCCTTCCAATCACATATACACAAATTTTCATTTAGAGAAAACAAAAAATAAACAACCACCCCCCACCATGTGTCTACCATTTTTTTTGGTGTCCCTCCTTCCTTTTTCCTATTGTGTTCTAGCAAGAATAACAATGCAGTCACGTTTGCATCTTTATCTGCTAAAGCACATTAAAAATATTTTCCCTTTCCCAACTGTAACTTTTCACATCAGTATTTCTAATTGTTTTGGAGACAAGGAAGTAACACTTGGGCCAAGCTCTGAGCAGGAGTTAACCAGGTAAAGGGGGAGAAACACAGCAAAAGAGTGTATACCCTTAAGGCGAGAAAATGTTTTATATTTTTAAGCAATCGAAGTAAGGCCAGGGTGGATGGGGCATAGCCTAGTGAGGGCCCAGAGACTCCACAGGAGGTTGAAGGAATAAGCAGAACTTTGGAGGCCTCCATAAGAATGTGGGTCTTTATTCTTATAGAAACAGGAAGCCACTGAGAGGTTTTAAGCAGAAAAGTGATACGCTTGATTGAAGATGTTAAAATAACACTATGGTTGCAATGTGGATAATGAGCTGGAGAGACAAAGAGTAGTGGTGGCAAGAACAACTGGGAAGCTACTGACCTTACACAGGCAAGACTGGACAGTGGCATGAAGTAGAACTGTGGACAGGAGATACAGAGAAATAAATGGAGATTAAAAGCAACATGACTTGGAGATGGGCTTGGCAGGCTAGAGGTAGATGGATGAGGAAGAGGAAGGTGCTAAGTGTATGACTTTGAGTTTCTCTGTCTGGAGTTTCTGAGGATCAGAAGTGTGGTTTACTAAAATGTAGAGCACTGGAGAAGAGACAGCATGGGAGTGGGATAGGACATGGTTTGGGAGATGCTGAGCTCAATATCCCCAACCTAAATGTCCGTCAACAGAGACTGGATAAAGAAAAGGTGGTATATATACAAAATGAAGTATTATTTAACCTTTAAGAAGACATTTTTAAAAAAGAATGAAATCATCTCTCTTGCAGCAACTTGGATGGAACAGGAAGTTATTATCTTAATTGAAACAATCCAGACACAGAAAGACAAATATCGCATGTTCTCACTCATAATTAGGTGCTAAAAAAAGATGTACACATGGACAAAGAGAGCAGAATAACAAACAATACAGACTCAGAAGGGTGACCGAGTGGAAGGGGGAAGTGGATGATGAGCAATCACTTATTGGGTGATATATGCTATTTGGGTGATGGATATCCTAAAAGCTCTAACTTGGCCGCTATGCATGTAACAAAATTGCACTTGTATCTCATAAACTTATATAAAGAAAAATAAAAAATAAGGCCAAAAAAATTTGATGTCTCTGTGCAATACCCAAGTGTCAAGTAGGCCGTTGGTGACACAGTCCAAAAGTTCACAAATCAGGTCAGGCAGGGCTGGAGAGAGAACTTGAGAGTCCCTGCTCTATTTGTAAGGAGGATCTGAAGCAACGGGGGTGGATGGCATTACCTATGGAGGAGGTTAGCCTTCACCAGCATTTAGAGCCCTTACTGTGAAGGGCCTGCCCACGTTGCCAGCTACAGCCACAGAGATCAGGGGAGCTTCTTCTCAGGCTCTATGAATTTGTGCCACAGAAGGCTCTTTCGGGGACATTTCCCTTCTCCTACCCCCTTGCACCCTGTTTTAAAGCCAAGGGTTAAAAAAAAACAATGTCAATACAAACTTCTAAAAGAAAAGCTTTAAGTATGAGAATGGAAATTGCATTAAAATAAAACAGAACAACAATAACAAAGCTCCAGGAAAAGCTAAAGTTTTCTAAAATAATTCTTAACCATCTCCTTTCTCCTCTTATCTAACTTTGCCTTAGTGTTTGCATGAGCTTTGTTTTTCATTCTGCAAATATTTGCTTCATTCATTGTACCTGTGTACCTATAAGTTTATGTATGTTTGTATGTATATACAACACATATACATGCATGTACTTTTATGTATGTATATGGCTTCTATACACACAGAACCTTTTCTTTGAGTGTACGCTCATTCATGGCAAATGACATGCAAGCTTCTAGAGGGCACACACCACTGAGAGAAGCTGGCATAATGTATTAATCAGAAGCTACTCAATAAATATTGCTATCAGCAAAAGATATCAGGAGTTACACAAATATGCTGGCTATAACAATCTCCAGCATTTATTTTTCTGTGCACTCATTCTAAGTTTGGAAGCCGACCTTTGCTTTATGAACTCTAATACTGTAGAGTTTGCTATGTTCCAGATTTAGGACTCTCAACTAAGGTAATTAATTATTTTATTATAATTATGGCTAAAATTGTTTAGGTATAAGTGGTGTTCACCTTTTGATGTGCTAAAATGCTCTTTGACTCTGTTTAATAGATATCTTTCATAAAGAAGTAAACTTTATACTATTATCTTTTCAAAGATCTTTGCTAATATATTTATAGATGACGGTCAAACAGTTCATTAATTTGTTATGAATTCATTGTATCATAGTTCAATGCATTTTAGAACTTGGTCAATAGGGAAGGAATCACTCCAACAAATGTTATTACTTGTTGAAATTTTAAAATAGTCATGCGTAGTAAGAAAATATAACATGATAAGGCCCTACTCCTGAGCCCTGGACAGAACAGCCTACTCTTGCTGTGTGTAGTATTGAGTTTATCCAAAGAATAAAAGGGAATTGCTGCAGATCATGAATTAATGGTTTTCTTTCACTGTCATAAAGAATAGGCTCTGAGCTGCCTTCTAACAAAAGCATGATTTTTACTTCATTTACTAAAGAAAAAAGCTTTTTGAGAGTAACAGAATTTTAACCTTTGTTATTGATATTTTGAATTAATTTTTAGTGGTTAACTATATATTAGATGTTTTTAGTCATTTTCAACAATAATTATCACCTTCCATGCTGATCCAATAAAATGAGCTAATAGAAACATGATCCATTTGGAAATATTAACACAGAAACAGCCATACCACTGGATACAGAGAAAAATTACTGAATTCATGCTTAGCTTTAGCTACAATAGAGAGTGATTTTGACAGAAAAAATTGCAGACATTCTTGTTTAGAAAGCATACAAGGAAATCAAACCACAGGGCAGTGAATGTTAGATTACTGCACGTTTGCATAACATAAGCCAAGCTAGAAGCACATAACAAAAGAGGCACCGGAGAAAAGATTCTGTTTTGCAAAAAAAATTTCAAGAGCAGAAGAGTAGCACAAAGGAAGTACCTTAAGATCTCGCCTCTCCAGATGCAAAAGTTCAGCCCCTCTGATGTCATGACGGATGAAGATATCTTTGTACTCTCCCAAATTGAGCAGATCCAGCCAAGCAGCAACTTCCTCTGTGCCCCATTTCTGAACTACCAAAGTTAAGAGCAAAACCCCCTTAATTTCTACATGCTCAATGCATTACAAAGCAAAGTTGGCCAAAGAAGATGCAAAACAGAGTGCAGCGGCAGTGCTAGCAAAGGAAAGGTCAAGGTGTTGTTTCAACAAAACTGTAGCTCCACTTTTCCCATGCAGGTTACAGACTTTCAACACAAGAATCTGACTATACAAAAACATTTGCTGCCGTGCACCCATGCTTAGCTTTAGTCCGATTTCCTTATTTAAAGCCACCCAAACTACACAGTATGCATACAAAATGTATTTCACATCATTAGAATCAGTGGCGTAAGCTCTAAATAAGCTCTGATGATTTCCTTACGACCATATATAAAAGTGGCTACAGACCGAAATGAGTTAAAATGGTAATTAAAATTTAAAATCTGACATGGGGTACTCAATTTTACGTCAAACTTTTCTACTTAGGGTCTTGTTGACTTCAAATGTTGTCTTTATTGATCCCACTATCGATAGTAACAGCAAATCAATGTGTTGTTAAATCAATGTAATGTCACTTAAAAATCACTGCTGTCTGAGATTAGTTGGATTGCATTATTTTTCAGTATGTATCATTTACTTATACATTTATTTAACATTGATTAGCTTAATAAAAGCCCACTTAATTGCCGCATTTGGTTTATTTTTATTTTTATTTTTTGAGCTAGAGTCTCACTCCATTGCCCAGACTGGAGTGCAGAGGCCGCTCCCGGCTACCGTAGCCTCGACCTGCTGGGCTCTGGCAATCCTTCTGCCTCAGCCTTCCAAGTAGCTGGAACTACAGGTGCACACTACCATGCCCGGCTAATTTTTGATTTATTGTAGAGATGAGGTCTCGCCAAGTGGCCCAGGCGGGTCTCGAACCCATGGGCTCAGGCAATCCACTCACCTCAGCCTCCCAAAGGCGAAGGATTACAGGCTGAGGCTTGCATTTGGTTTTTAAATGTCCTTCAATAGCTGCCCTGTGAATATCACAAAGTTTTATATCACAAAAAAATGAGATAGCTAGCTCAGAGGAATGTATACAATGATTTGATTATGAAAGGCAGCTACCATCATATACACAGAACTTGCAAGTGCTTTAGCTCCAATACAGCAAATTTAAACTCTAAGAAAAACTGAAAGGGGAACAAGAGAAACAGCAGCAAAGACAGGGCTTCATCTTTGCTTGAGAATGCAAGTATCAAAGCACACTGTCATTATCAAGGGGTTGACTGGTATCCTTAAAGCAGGAGAAAAAGAAGATATAACTTTAGGTAGAAAATATATTTAGCAGGTTAAAGGAGTAAATGAAAGCTTCTGTGTTCCATTTATCAATGTAATCTATTTATCAATGTAAACCAAGTGATAAACTGATGCTTTGAACTGCTGTCAAGAAAGAGAAAAAGTCACTTGAACAAAGATACTGACATCCACTGAACACAGCAGAAGCGAAGTCGCAACCAACTCATTCTCTGTGTGCAGCATTAGCACTGATTCCTACTGATACTTCAACATGTTTGGGGTCTACGATTCTTTTATGGTAAAATTCAAATAACATATTAATAGAAGTCACCATTTTAACTATTTTAAAGTGTACAAGCCCATAACATTTAGTGCATTCATAATGCTGTGCAACGCTCACCGCTACTTAACTCCAGAATGTTTTCATCGCTTCAATGAAATCACTTTAATATATTATTTTCCCATTATGTTAGGCTCTCCCTTCCCATGTGGACTACATACCAGGCTGTGAACTTGTCTTCTGCTTCTGAACCTTGTCCTTTTTAAATTTTGGCACTATGCGAAATACTGTGCTTCTGCTGTTTCTTTTGGTGCAATCCATAGGAGGCTCCTGTTCAAATAGAGTGAGAAAATAATTTTTTCAGGATATTGAGAGAACAAAATTCACTCTAACAATAGACACAACAAAAGAATAAGTTATAAACACTAACCAGTGCAGAACAGTGATAACTTCTTCAAAGAAATTTCATGATATTCTACTGAAATATATCAATTCCTATAAAGTGCCTTTGTTCACCTAAATGCCTTTTCATACTTGTTCAACAACATTTGAAAGTAGTATTTGGCCGAGCTCAGTGACTCATCCTGTAATCTCAGCACTTTGGGAGGCTGAGGCGAGTGGATTGCCTGAGCCCACGGGTTCAAGGCCAGCCCAGGCAACTTAGTGAGACCTCGCCTCTATAATAAATTTTTAAAAATTAGCCGGTATGGTAGCACGTATCTGTAGTTCGGCTACTGGGAAGGCTGAAGTGAAAGGATCGCCGGAGCCCAGCAGGTCAATGCTGGGGTGGCCGTGAGCATGCCACTGCACTCCAGCCTGGGCGACAGAGTAAGATTCCAACTCAAAAAAGAAAGAAAGTAATATTCAAAACTTACTTTTTCCTAAATATCTCTTTTTCAAAGAAGAGTTCAAAGTCTACTGTGATAAGGTCTCCATTTCTGAAGACACAGGCTGAATTCTACATACCTCTTCCTCATTTGGGTGTAAGATGTAATAAAGCCAAGGGATCTCTGTCAATTTCTGTAACTCCACCTCCACGGAGTGTAAGGCATTGGAGACCCGCTCCTCATGTGGAGACTCCAACTGCTGTTTACCAGAAGATTAAAAAGCAAAACAAAACAAGACACAGTGACCAATCTCAAACAGAATTATCGTATTTTTACAGTGACTATCCTTACCTCCTATTAGGTTGGATTCTTTTAAGTTAAGGAACAGATCTGAAAGATAACAAATTGTTTTATAATGATTTAATTTCTAAAAATCTGGACAGAAGTAGTCTAATCCTTACTAAAGATGATAGTACAGTCAGTGTGATTTTACTAACGTCACAGAAAAAGTATTGCTTTGGGTGTTTTTTCTATGTAAGCCTTTTCCTTTCCTCCTTCCAAGAATCTATCTCATTATACTACTTTATTTGTGCCTAAAGTCCTTCTGATGTACACAGGTCACTGTATAACAAATATTTTTTAAATTGTTCAAAAACTTGCCACATGAAAAGAACCACGGAAAAATCTCCTCGAGAATTTAGAAACTATGTTTAAGAAAAAAAACAGGAGTTGCAGAAAAAATGTGTGCCGAAAAACTTGTAAAAGTCACGGCAAAACGAAAAGTTCAACGGCTTGTCATCTGGCATTAGGGTTTGGCTACTTTAAAGAGAACTTAACTGGTCACTCATTGTCCACATTAACACAAAACAGTTATTAAAATGCATTTACAAGTTTAATACATTAATAATGGTAAAATAAGCAACTAACTATGTAACCAAGAAGAGGCTAATTGATTTCAGGAGCCTTAGTTTCCTCCTCCAGAAATAGCACAGTGTGGCTAGATTATTTCTGAGGACTCTTCCAGCTAAATGATACTTTCATAAATTACTTTAAAATTATAGATTTCCTGTATGTATGTTCATAGAATTTTAGAAATCAAAGTTCAGAGAAAATATTGCTGTTATTTATTATGAACATTATTTTTTTTGTTTCCCCTTGTTATTCAAGGTATCCACCACTTTGATAGCTACTAAAAATATGGAGATTCTCCACCATGTTGTAAAAAATCTGCCATTTTCCTTTTAGTCTAAGAATATTAATTTTTTAACAATAAAATTGATTAAGTGGTTATAACATATTCACTCTAGAAGTAAAATAAAGAGTAAATTTTACTTGTTCTCAAATGTAATCAACTCTTTATTGTGATATCCCTATTGATAAAGGCTCTGGTAGAATTCACTCTACACCAGGGGTACCCGCATGATCAATGTTCGTATACCTAACCCTGAATTGTACCTCACATCTTTACAGTAAAAATTTTTTAAAAGTTAAAAAAATAAAAATAAAAAAATAAAATAAATAAAAGAATTCACTCTACACATTTTAAAACAAACATCCATATTTGACAATGAGAGAATTAAAAACAGGGGCGGGAGAGGTGCCCTTCCATATTAACATAATACAATTGAGAAGTGTTCGCAAAGGAGCTCTCAGTGGCTACTTCTGGTATAGAGAAAAGAAATACAGAACAAGCTATGCTTCTAGATCTTGTCAGAAATTATCTTAAATGTAGTTCAAATAACACAAAAAATATACATCCTCTATAGAAAAATCTGGACCCTTGCAAATCACAGGTCACTAGAATTCCTATAGGACTTATTTAAGAAGACAGTGGAAGATTTTGGTTAACAGCATTAGTGCCAAAAATAGCCAGGAGGAAGGCTCCATTTATTTTATCAAAACAGACCACCAGTGTTACTTTCTAAGTTTTTTTTCACAGCCATAGTAGTGGCAGCCACCTCCTTTCCCAAGGAAGCTGTGTTTCATTTTCCTGTGGAGGTAGGGAAGAGCAATGGCTGTGATGCAGCCTTTAAGCTTCTCTTTTCAGAGAAAAGGATGTCCCAAAGGTGGCGTTTGTCTGGAACACAGGCACACAGAAATTCCAAGCTCAGGCACTTAATAGCTAGGCTGTGGGATACACCTTCCATTCATTCAGCCATTGTGCTAGATATTGACTCAACATTTTTTTTTATGTAGGTGTATATTTGCCAAAACGAGAGTAAAGTTCTGTCAAAAGAAGTTTTCAGCTCACCTCCTATCAATCAGAATTGTTACAAGGAATTAAAAAATAGCAAATGCATCAGCCCTCTAGGCAGGGACAACAGCATGTGCGAAGAAGCTACAATCGAACTCTAGGTGGCGACAAAATGCAAGATGCTAGAAACGGTGAGCTCTTAATAAAGAAAGCTTTGGGGCTAACCGAACAGGACATCCATGGACTTCTAGCATTGATGTCTGAAGTTTACAAACCGTGATCAGATTCAGATGCGGCCTAAACTAGATTTCCATAACCAATACGAATTAAACTCGAAAGAGTTCTTGAAATTTAGTTCTTGAAACACTGCATCTAGATAGTGTCCTCTTTTAAGCAAATCAGGAGGGTCATACTAATCATATTTCAATTGTCAATTCAGGGAACAAAACCTGAGTAGAGGCCGGGCTTGGTGGCTCAGCCTGTAACCCCAGCACTTTGGGAGGCTGAGGCAAGTGGATTGTCTGAGCCCACGGGTTCAAGACCAGCCCAAGCAACTCGGCAAGTTCTCAACTCTACAATAAATACAAAATTAGCCAGGCATGGTAGCGCATGCCTGTAATTCCAGCTACTTGGAAGGCTGAGGTGGAAAGATTGCCGGAGTCCAGTAGGTCGACACTGGGGTGGCCGTGAGTGTGCCACGGCACTCCAACCTGAGTGACAGAGTGAGACTCCAACTCAAAAAAAAAAAAAACAACAAAAAACCTGAGTAAGACTGCACAAAAACATAATGGCATTTGTGAAGGGAAATCTCTGCTTCTAGCCTGAATCATGACTCCCAACTTCAGCCACGTGTTCTCTTGAAGACAAAAGCTAAGTAAAAAGGAATCTTTAAGTATGAAGGTCAGAAGGTGGTTTCCGCCTTAGAATCTGCTGAGTTCATGTTCCCTAAAGAAGGTATGTATTTCAACATTCTTATGTTAGCAATCATTTCCCTTCCTTACCAAAGGAACTCTGCCAACTAGTAAAGATTCCGTTTCATTATATAGTGCCTTCACATTGATGGCAATTTCAGTGGCAGTGTCTCTCGTAAGACTCTAAAAAAGAAAAATATCAAAGACGTGATTCTGTATTAAACTGGGATTCCGTCATCAGTAAATACTTTAAATTTTATTCTCTTAATGTAAATTCATGGCACAAATACATTTTTTAAATCTACCAAAATCCATAATTATAGAATTTCATATTCATATTGTATCCTCTAATTATGGTATCACAGAACCAAAAGAATGCACTGACTATAGTGAATACACTCAAGATCACATCTCCTACCTACAAATATGTATGAGAGAGGACCTCCTCAAAAACAATGGAATTATTTTTTGGAGGGTGGTCCCCTTGCAGTATAGGTTTTCTCCACTAGGTAAGTGTTCTAGGAACCCATAGGCATCAGTGTACAAGCAAGTGTTGTTGTGAGAGGCTATGTTTGACTGTGTAAAATGTTTTTGGAGACTCTTTCAACATATTTGGCCATTTCATGATGGGTGATTTACAAGTACACACCAGCAGTTTTCAACCAAAAAGGAATAACCTCTGTGCCCCACCCTCCCTATTCAATGGATCTCACTCTGAGTGACTTTTTTTGTTTCCTTGGATGAAAAGTCATCACAGGAAAATGTTTTGCTGATGTCAAAGAGGTGAAACAAAAAACAGCAGAGCACTAAAAGGTATCCAAATTGACAAGTCCAAAAACTGTTTTGAGCAGTAAAAAAAGCATCTTGATAGGTGTATTGCATCACAACTAGAGAACTTTGAGGGTGACTGAAGTTTAAACATGTAAGAATAAATACACAACTTTTTATAAATAAATTCCAAGTTTTTGGATCCCCCTTATACATGCTAGATACATATTCCCAAAAAAAAGTGAAGTCAAAAAAAATTTTAAAAGGGTATTATTTGATTATAGTTCCAGCTACTGATTTTTACTCTCTGTAGCTCCAATCACACTGCTTTTTAGACTGTAATCTTGATAATAATATACTTACTTGTATATTAATTTAAGTAGCTTCAATTGAGTAATTACAAGAATAAAATAATGCTATCAGCTTTCTCTATACTATAGCATTATACCATGTATCACATTTCAAGAGAGCTATAGTCTATCCATCCTATTATTAACTCTTACATTAAAAATTTTTATATAAGTATCAATTTCCAATTTAATAAAAGAAAAATAATGTTAGTGCACAACTTAAAACATCTCTAACAAAAAACACTGATGATAGCTAGGTCAGGAGAGAAGGTGAAAGAAGGAGCAAGAAATGATGGCAGCAGTTAAAAGAAGAACTGAAGGAAGATGACAAGTGACTGAAAGTGAAAAAGAAAAGAAAAATATGGAGAGAATTTAAGAGCAGGAATTGAAAAATGGCAGGAAAAGGGAAATGAAGAAAAATTTGGCCACAAATTTACCATAAGCTTCTGATAGAGACTCATATAAACTAATACAACTCTCACAGGGTATGACATATTTTACTGTATTAAAATACATGTGTTAACACCAAAAGAATCTGTGGAATGAGAATTTACCATGAGATCCTCACCTCCGGGCACCTTGGGTTGGCTTTATTCAGGGCATGGGAGCATGCATTCACAGCATGGGCCAGTTCTTGCTCCAAAAGACAGTGGATTGTGGCTGCGTCACAAATCCTAGCAGCAAAAATGAAGCAAAAAAACTTTTTTGAGTGCTGCTGATTATTTTTTTAAGTATAAAAGCAGTATGATAAAACACCTAAAAATATAACGATTACTAAGAAAACAATTTTCTAAATGGCTGCTCAATTATGAATGGCACAGGGTAGATCTACAAATTCAAACCCCATTGCAACGAAGAATATTACGTTAACAATCTTTATATAAAAAGTTAAAGCTTAGAATCAGAGGAAGACAGATTAAACAAAATACAGTAATATTTCATTTTTCAGTATCACTGGAAAGTGAGAGAAGTCACAAATAAAAAGACTAGAAGCATGTCTTTCATACATCGAAACTTCAAATACAGCAGATTGAGGAAGCGTATTGCCATATTTATCCTCCATATGTTAAGTGATTTATAAGCATTATCCAATTTAATAGTCACAGCTTCAAAAGGTAGCTGTAAGTGTGCATGGTGGCTCATGCCTGAAATCCCAGCACCTTGGGAGGCAAAGGTGAGAGGAATGCCTGAGCCCAGGGATTTGAGACAAGCCTGGGCAATCTGGCAAGACCTCATCTCTACAATAAAAATAAAAAAAATTATCCAGGCATGGCAACACGCATCTTTAAGTTCTGGCTACTTGGAAGGCTGAGGTGGAAGGATCGCCTGAGCCCAGGAGGTCAAGGCTGCAGTGGCTGTGATCGTGCCACTGCACACTTGCCTGGACAACAGAGTAAGACTCCCACTCAAAAAAAAAAAAGTCACTATGCTTAATTTTCTCCATGTTGTACACCAAGACATTGAGGCGCAGAGAGATTAGGAATGTATATAAAGATAATCTGTGGCAGAACCAGGATTTGAATGCATGACTATCCAACTCCAAAGCCTGTTGTGCCACACTCCTCTGGTATCTGAACCTCTAAGAAAAGTCCTGGTGAGATAAACTCCTGGACAGCACACGGCCAAAGAAGAGAAAGGAGGAGAATTTCCTCCAATTGCTAGAAAAATGGCGTAAAGTTTGCAGATGAGGAAGAAGGCAAAATTATTCAAATGCTTTTTGCTTCTGTCATCTTAATGAAGAACGAGCTTCTATGTGGAAAGACTAGAACGAGAAAAGGGGCAGAAACCCTATAAAGTTGAATCAAGAGTAAACGAAAAGAGTTAATTTCTAAGGATCATGCAATTGATATCTACGGCACAAAGGAACTTGCAAATGTCACCTCAGCAAAGTTATCAATAACTTTGAATAAAAGGCTATTTATCAGAATACAGATGGGTATATGCTATTCTACTTTTCAAAGAAAGGGAAAATCAACTTCAGATCAACATTTCCAACTGCCTACTGAATCTTCTAGATATTCCTAGTGGAATTTAAATTCTAAAGTCCTACAAGGAACCCACTATTTTCCCTCACATATGTGCTCCTCTTCCTGAATCTACTGGCTCCATCAAAGGCACCACAATCCATCCAGCCACTCACTAGAACCTAAGGTCATCCTGTCTCCTATTTCATGCCCACATGTCAAATCTCTCTTCTCCTTTCCATCTCTATTGCATTAATCATCATTTTTTTAAAAGCCAGATCATTCTTACAACATCATCTGTGCTCATCCTGCCCCAGCTTTGCTGTCCTTCAAATAAATCTTCCACACTACTTCCAGAACCATCTGATAAAGACTTGACTTCTCCTCACCTCTCTGTACACATTTCCCACATTCTTGCATATACTATGCCAACCTGTTAGTCACCCCAAACTCTCTGAAATTTCCTGAAAGTAACACGCATACTCTGCTAGGCCTCTGCCCAGTTTGGTCTCTATGCTTAGATTGTTCCTTCTCCTACTCTTCCCTCCAGACTAGACTAAAAGGTCACTTCTTTCAGGCTTCCCTCCCTTACTGCCTCTGGCCTTCTCTGTGCATACACAGAGACTACTGTGCCTTGTGACAGCAATTTTGCTATACTTCTCTCTCATACTAACCTATGAGCAAACTCAAAAGGGTCATAACATAGACATCTTTCCTCACCCTAAAATGGTGCTTGGCCAAAGAAGAGGCTCAAAAATGGAATATGTTTGAATAATCAGTAAATAAATTCTGAAAACAGACAAGTGAACATGATTTTCATCTTTTGAAAAATTTAAAAATATATGAGAGAACCAGACTAGGTTGTCCAGAAGCAAGTCTGGCAAATCTTCACTTCCTTTATGCAATAAAATTATTTGGTTGTTTCACGGGACAACATGGGAAGTGTATTTTGGTTTCAAGAAAACACTATAAAGTGCAAGGATCATTTGAGGCCAGGAGGTTGAGGCTGCTGTGAGCCATGATCATGCCACTACAGTCCAGCCTGAGTGACAGAGTGAGACCCCAATTCAAAACTAACAAACAAACAAAAAAACACTGTAAATCACAGGCCATAGAATTTGTTTGTGGTTTCTAAAAGAGATGGATTTACCTTAAAACTATTATGATATCCCTGTAGATAAGAAACTGAGATGCATAATAATGCAGTTGTGTGGATTAAGTTGAGTAAATGTTTTCTCTTCCCTTTCTTCTGATCTATCCAATCTTGTGCAGCTATAACACTTGATTATAATTCTGAATGTTGGTCCAGCAGTAGGGAGTGTGTATCTTTTCTCTTACATTTTCTTGAATGTAATTGCATCTCTTTTTTTGAGTTGGAATCTCACCCTGTCACCCAGGCTGGAGTGCAGTGGCATGCTCACAGCCCCCCACAGCCTCAACCTGCTGGGCTCAGGTGATCCTTCTACCTCAGCCTTCCAAGAAGCTGGAACCACAGGCACATGCTACCACGCCCAGCCCATTTTTTTATTTATTGTAGAGACAAGGTCTCACTAAGTTGCCCAGGCTAGTTTTGAACCCCTGGACTCAGGCAATCCTCTCGCCTCTGCTTCCCAAAGGGCTGGGATTACAGGTGTGAGCCACCATGCATGACTTGCATCTCTTTTTGATACCAAAAACTATGAAAACAATGTGTAGAAATTAAAAAACAAGGCTCATGCTTGTAATTCCAGCACTTTGGGAGGCTGAGGCAGGTGGATTGCTTGAGCCCAGGAGTTTTAGACTAACCTGGGCTACATAGTGAAACCTCGTCTCTATAAAAAAAAAATCAAAAAATTAGGTGGGAGTGGTGGTGTGCACCTATAGTCCCAGCTACTCTGGAGGCTGAGACAGAAGAATCACCTGAGCCCAGGAGGTCAAGGCTGTGGTGATAATGCCATTGCACTCCAGACTAGAACAGAGAGATCCCAACTCAAAACAAACAAACAAACAAACAAAAAAACCCCACCAGATTGGGGGGAAAAAAAAACTGTCTGAGACCAGAGTTGTCATAGTCTGAAAACCAGCAGAGCCCCCATACCTAGTAATGAGCTCCTCTGCAGCCTGGGAGCATAGCTGCATCTGCGACACCTCTTCTGTTGCCAAGTCAATGGCGTGATGGATGTACAAATGGGTTCGGAGAACTGGTTTACCAGAATCACACTTCTGCTTGTCTTCCCAAGATTTCAGAGTGCTCTCAAAGGCCTATTTAAAATCAATATTGCAACAAATTGTTAGTTTAGAACTCTGAGGCCCACGTAAATGTGTACTTGAATAAAATGATGATGGCTTTTTCTCTCATCTAAAGCCTCATTAAATAAATCCCAAGTATAAAAAAGGCATTTTAAAGTTTTCCAGTGCCTTTCAATAAAAAAGTAGTGTAGTCGGCGATGATAAATATATCATTGGAAAGTTAAAAAAAAGCTTTTGTGTTACATGCTTTACTATTTCTTCAATTTGTGTTTTAATCATTACTATTTTATATATATTAGATGAGAGGACTATTGGCAGTCATATTTGTTCAAGGCTGGCCTGAATTAAAAATAGATATTTTGGGAAAGGCAAAACTATGAAGACAGTAAAAAGATCAGTGATTGCATTGCCGGGGCCAGGAGTAAGGGACAGAAGGATGAACAGGTAGAGTACAGGGAATTTTTAGGGCAGTGAAACAATTCTGTATGATACTATAATGGTGGACACAAATACAAATGATTGTACATCCAAACCCACAGATGTGCAATTCAAAGAGTAATGACAACCATGGACTTCAGTTAATAATAACGTACCAATATTGGCTCATCAGTTGTAACAAATGTGTCATATTAATGCACAATGTTCATAATAGGGGAATTTATGTGTGTAGGGAAGAGTGAAAAGGATGTGTGTGGGAATTTAATTTAATTAGAATACTCCTTACTTTCTACACCATTTTTCTGTAAACCGAAATTGCTCTAGAAAATGAAGTCTTAATTTTCAAAAAACTTGTTCATATGTAAAACTAAAATAACCTAATCCTTAGGTTATTTTAGTTTTACATATGAACAAGTTAGATTTGAGGCAATTTAAACCATTTCCTTATTTTCTATTTTCTCATAACAATTTCAGGCTTTTAAAAAACTTGATAGAATTCTAGAAGAATGTTCTCTGTTACGTACTCTGTCCCTTGTTAGCATCTGAGCTCTGTTTTTGTGCACAATTTTGATAATCCCTGGAGGCTGAACCCATGCTTCGCCATCCACCTGCACTGGGACTCCCTCATCTCCAAATATAGTGATTTTTACTGTACGGCACTGAAATAAAACAAAACATTTATTTTAGAGTGTAAATCATCCTGAGAAATTGCCAATCTGCATTCAGGCTTGAGTATTAGTCTATTCTGGAATGGCATGCTATGCTTAGCCACTTAAAATGACATGGTAACAACTAACATTATGGCAAGAAAGTCAACATTTCAAAGATAAATACGCAGTGAAGGAATCATTTGGAATAGCTTTCCCCAACCCTCTGTGGCTCAAGGGAGTGCAGTCAGGGTTGATTTGAGAAACCAACCTGGGCTATTCGATGATGCTGCAGTTTAATCACCCTTGAAACTGCCATCTGCACGCTATCAAATATCGCAACAACTTCTAGGATCTTGTCATCAAATGATGGTGCAGCAAATATCTGAAAGGAACAACTAACTGAAGGTTTAGAAGAACTGGTGCATCAAGTAATATAAACTCTGCTATATATATGTATCTCAGATCAGTAAATAAATATTATTAGAAAATGATAATCCAAGAAAAAAAACCCTCTGAAGATGGCTTAAAATGAACAGACATCATTTAAAGAAGATTTTCAAACAAATGGATATAATACTCCTACCCCTTAAAGCACTCTTTGGAGTAAACGAATATATTTCTAAATAATTCATCTTGGTGTAAAATGTGTTAAGTATCTGTCCATACATAATTCACATATATTGATAAGATGATGCATGCAATTTTGGAAGTCTACAAAACCTGACAGGTAATATAGTTTCATAAGTTTAAAGCTGTTAAACATGCACATTATGACCTAGTTCACTTGGTATGTTCTAAGGGCAATCTTTTGAGGTGTTATAAGCAATATGCATATGTGCTTTATATTTTGATACAAATTTTTAGGGCTCTTAAGAATATGGAAACTAAAACCTCAGAGGATAAAAATTATGTAGGCTTATTTTACCTTTACATTAGATATATTTTCACAAAATTAACTTACTCTAAAATTTTAGGTTTAGGCTATATTGGTCCTTTTTATTCTCTTTTGCTATACCATAAATAATATGGCTTTGAAAAAAATTCAGTATAAAGTAGTATCCTAATTAAAACTTCTACTGGGAACACCAAGACATAAATTTGCTAACATTGATGATATTTTATCATTTTTGTTGTCAGATTGCCTAGGCTTAAATTCTATCTCTGCTACTGCTAACTATGGAAACATTGCCTCAGTTTCTTCAGTGGTGAAATTCAGATTTTAAAAGTGGGCTTTAGAAAAAAGGTGGATGTTAAATAATGAATGTGACTCTCTTAGAACATTGTTGACTACACAGTAGGTGTTCAAAAAATGTCAGCTTTAATATGTTAATCTCATTGACTTCTCCCCTTCAAAAAATTTAAGAACAGTGACAGGTTGACAACAAAATGTTGACTGTTAGTGTAAGTTTTTATACTCCAATAGGATTGGAAGATATTCATGTCATATAAAATACCAAGATTTTACAATTTATCTTATACTTTAATCCCCACCTGTCCATTTAAGAGCCTTGGGAAAATTGGTAATATCATTATATTATAAGCTCAAATCAATGATTTTGACTCTTCAAATAAAGATTGTGACAACACTTCTCATTTTTACTTCTCATTTTCACTTCTCATTTTTACTGCTATATATACTTTAATAATATACTTTAATAATTGTGCCCTCTTTTCCTCATTTTTTTCAGAACAATTACATTTGTGAGGCTGTGTTTTTTCTTTTTTAGTATGGCAAAGTATAAAAAGAAAACAAAAATAGCCCTAAACCTCGTTAGCCAAATGAACCCTCTTGATAGTTCTAAAACAAAAAAATAACAATATACACATCAGTTTAGGAAATTCAAAGTACTGAAAGGTATAATGATAGGCAGAATAATGCTCTCTCTCCATCCCAAAAATGCTCCTGTCCTAATTTCTGGAACCTGTGAGTATGATACCTTACATGAAAAAAGGAGTTTTGCAAATATGATTAAATTAAGAACCTTAGGATGAGGAGATTACCTGGATGATCTAAGTGGCCACAATGTAATCACAGGGATCATTAGAGGTGGAAGAGGAAGCAGAAGAGGTGAAGCAACACAAGAAGGAGGCAACCTGTCTTTGTTGGCTTTGAAAATGAAGAGAGAGTAATGTGGCAGCCTCTCAAAGCTGGAAGGGCAAGAAGATGGATTCTCTAGAGTCCCAGAAGGAAACAGCCAGCTGACACCTTGATTTCAGTGCAGTGAGACCGTGTTAGATCCCTACCACATAGAACTGCAGATGATAAATGCGTGCCAAGTTGCTAAGTTTGTGTTGTTACAGCAGCAACAGAAAACTAACATGTGTATGAAATAAAAAAGTAACAACTTCCCTTCTTTATTTCTTAAATCTACTTTCCAAAAGTAGCTTCATTAGTGTTCATCAAAAAAATTGTTTGATACATCCCAAGGTATGCATACCTATGTATTCAACATGAGAGTAGAGTATGTCCACAAGAGAATATTCAAATAAAATCTTAATCAAATCTATGCCCTGCCTCCCTTCTCAATGTAAAATATTCTGACATGAAATTAACTTACTATTACAAAGCAAACTTAAAAGAAAACATTATCCTAGTAATTATAATTTTCTTTTGGGGAAACAGACTGTCTACTCCCCTTATGCTACTTACATCGTCCTCTTTGGTTCCACCCCAGAAGTTAGTTCCTCCGGCATAGCTGGGGATGTTCAATACTGCAATGCCTTGCAAACTGGGGAGAGGAATATACTGCCCATCACACTGTAAGGTAAAAACTTAAAGATTAGAAAAAAAGAGTAAAACTGCTATTCTGGAAGATACTAAAATACTACAGACGAAAGGGTAATGGAGCAAAGTACACTAGTTATGACTGTCCTCTTGTTAATACATTTCTACACATTCAAAGGCTGTTCTCTTATTTTTTTAATGCAGAAAATTTACTGTTACAGAAAACTGATTTAAAAAAATATTTTACCTTTTCCCTCTAAAACCAGGCAATACTTTTCTGGGAGTCTTTTTCAAGTCACTTATGATATTCTCACTTGTATAGTGGTCCTCTCTGTACTTATTTCAAGCATCTTTTTGAAAACAAGTGTGTGAGGGCAGATTCTAGTCCTCACCATTCTCACTTAGTCCCCTCACAGGCCTGGTATACTGCTGGGGCTCTATGACCACCTGGGAGCTGGCAAAGCTCAAAGCTGAGTTTTTCAAGTGGTGCAAAGCAACAATACATGCATCTCAGAAAGCTCCTTATACCCTTGCCTTCTAAATACCACAAATGAAAACTAAATTACCACTTAAATGGAAAAAAGAATATGGCTGGTGAAGTGACGTGACATGAATAAATTCTCATTGAGTGAAAGCAGAGCTACTACTTTTTTCATAAAAGTTGTTTCTTAAATTAATTTTCTTAAAGTAATCTAAGAGCATTATGCTTTATTCTATTAATTCTTACATAAAACTTAGCTATTAGGAGGCAGTTAAGAAACTAATTTTAGAAAAATAACTTTAAAAAGATCATAATTATGTAACATAAATCTTATGACGATCATATTTAATCTGCATTTAAAAAGATCCACTTAACATTGTTCTAAGTGAACATTTAATCCAACATTTAAACTTTCATTTTAAAAGAGCAGAGCTTGTAGATGTCACACTTAAAATAGATGTTATATTTTCATTAAACGGTTCTTGCATTAAAAAGTGACATAGCTTCTTAAAAACTGCATTTTAATATCCAATAAAAATTATCTCCAACCTTTAGAATAAACGAGAATAAACAGCCTTTAAATCCATTTTCAACCACTTTAAATTACTGAGACTTCATAAATGATTTATTCCCGCATGTGTTTTTTACAATTCCTTTTTTTTCCTATGAAAACACAGTGTTAAACATTAGACAGGTTGAGTATTTCACATTCAAAGGTCCTAGCACTTAGGGGCATGCCTGGCATGTAGCTGGTGCTCAATGTAGATCTGTTAAATGAATGGATATTAAATATTAGTAGAATAATAAAGTTTTTCTCAGCCCAATACATTGAACAAATATCTTTGTGTACTTTAGAAAAAGCTGTTTTAAATCATATGACTAATTTGAAGGAAATAAGGAAAAAACACTATCTCTACAAATATTTTTAAAATTCAGAATAGTCTAAAGAGTTTATAAATGGATGCACTTTATTTGCAAACATAGTATGGAAAAAGATAACCATTTTAAGAAGGAAATTCCATGTATAGTGCTGCATTTAACATATAACACCCGGAGTTAAGTGCTTAATATCCATTTCATACAGTCTCACAGACAAAATATGAGTAGGACAGATTCAATAAACAAAGGTCATATGATTAAAAAATTTCTTATACTCAGGAAACAGTTCAGGAGGGTTAAATTTTTTAAATTGTCTTCCCTATGGTCCCACATTTCTTTTATTTATTTATTTTTAGAGACGGGGTCTTTCTCTGTCACCCAGACTGGAGTGTAGTGGTGTGATCATAGCTCACTGAAGCCCGGAACTCCTGAGCTCAAGTGATCCTCCCACCTCAGCCTCCCGAGTAGCTGGGACTACAGGCATGCCCCACCTCACCTGGCTATCTCACATTAATAATTTTGCAAAATGCTACAAAACTGCAATTATGTATATATTTTTTGATCAGTGTCTGTCTTTCTCTGCTCCTTTCATCAGGCAATATGGAGTGGTGAGAAGCTGGTGGACCTGGTTTCAACTCACTTTGTGTCTGGCTAGTCCCTTAAACTTTCAGTGCTTCATTTTGCTCATCTATGAAATGGGGTGACAATTCTTAGCACACAGTGAGCGAGGCCAATGAGATAAGGTATGGGAAAGCACCCAGATCACACAGTGGGAAGTCACTACATTTCCTTCTCCAGTTATAATGACAATTTGTTTTATGGTGAAAAGGCGCTGGATTTGAAATTTGGGCTCCTCTGGCTATTGGTTGTTTGATAGCCAGGCAAATGCCTGGATTCCTCTGCAATGAATAACAATACCTACCTTATAAGGAATGATAATGCCTACTTTATCAAGTTGTAAGAATTATAGATGTTATGTAGAGAACATACAGTAAACTTCATTATTAAAAATGATTTAAAAAGTAGTTACAAATAGTTATCACTGAAATAAATTAAACAAAGATAGGAATTATTATTGTATATTAAACCAAATTTATTTAGGCTTTAAAAAGAATGCAAACATGATGGGAAGATTTGAAATAACTAAAAATGTGAATTAAACAGCTACTTACTTTCTATCACATATTTCATTATAGCCTACAGATGGAGATTGTTTTTGAAAAGTTGTCTTTCTTCACATATCTTGGTATTTATGGGACTTGAAATAGTATATGATCATTATTTCAGTTAATACGTAGAAGAGATAGTGGTAAATTAGGTATATAATGGGCAAAAAAGTCATCCTTCCTAAGAAAGATGTCTTATGTTCTAATAAAAATTTTTCCGGCCGGGCTCGGTGGCTCAGCCTGTAATCCTGTGCCTTTAGGAGGCTGAGGTGAGTGGATTGCCTGAGCCCGCGTGTTCGAGACCCGCCTGGGTGGGCGAGACCTCATCTCTACAATAAATCGGGCATGGTAGCGCGTGCCTGTAGTTCCAGCTACTCGAAAGGCTGAGGCGGAAGGATCGCCGGAGCCCAGCAGGTCGAGGCTGTGGTGGCCGGGAGCGGTCACGGCACTCCAGTCTGGGTGACAGAGTGAGACTCCAACTCAAAAAAAAAAAAAATTTTTTTTCCATTTATATGTAAAAGTGTTTCTACTCTAAAAGTAGCAAGATATGATGTGATGTTATTCTACCTTTCTGGCATTCCCATTATTGTAAAGAGGAATAAACCTCACTCAAAGGTTCAGAAAGTTGGTATAAGTCAGAATCACTTGTGATGTGACTTGGGAAACAGAGTTTGCATTTGTATCGTACTTTTCAGTGTAACTGTGATTTACTGTACCTTAGCTCATTTAATTATGATTTGCACAAAATCATTATTTTATTCATGTTTTGATGGGGAAACCAGGGTCAAATTCTTTATTCTGCATAAATTCAAAGTCAAGACATGAAGTAAAGTAGATCTCCTTCCATACTACACTATAACAGGGAAAGGAAAACTTAAGTCAAGCCGCAAAAAAAAGAGGTGGAGGTTTGGCAAGGACTGCTACTGATGAAGGGATCTCTCTGGAAAGAGTTTCCCAAGATGTAAGTCTCTCTTCTTCCCCTTTATTTCAAGTGACTCATCATTAGGAAAATGAATTTTTAGACACCAGGCCTTCCATGGCCATTAGGAGTAGGAGGTGTTTTGTTGTTTTTTACTTCTAACTATGACAATGGATTCTTCACTTCTACTTTACTTTTTTTTTTTTAAGAAAGAAAAGTTATTTAAGAGTAAAGTAGAGAGAGAAAGAGAAGGAAGAGAGAAGATTCACCTCCCCAAGGTGGGGGAGGGGGACCAAAGCCAGGAAGCATGGCGACAGCCATGGCTCAAAGAGTACATGGCCACACCAGACTCTAGCAAGGCAATGGCCCCCCTCTACTTTACTTTTTAAATGTATATTAATATATTTTCATTTATCTTGTCTTACTAATTTTATTTTCCTTTTTAATCATTTAATATATACTCCTGTATCAAGTGTTCTTAACTTGAACTTCAGAAACCAAGGAACCATGAATAGATTCAAGGTATTTGTAAACTTGATGGTAAAATGTATCTCTTTATGTTCACTAGTCTTTGAAATTTAGCAGTGTCCTCAATTATAAATGTAGGTAACAAACCAGGCATTAGCAATACCTGGTATTTCATCATCGACAGAAATACAGACATCTTTATATCACACTACAGATAGTTCAGATATCCTGTAATATCATTTATGTTCTTCATTACTTTGAAATAATGGTATTTATACTATAAGTAGACTTTTATTTGATGTGGTAATAATGAAACATACATATTACTCTTTAAGAATTAAAACTATTTTGTTAATTTATTTTCACATTATTGGTAAATCTTCTTTTGTAAGTCTATGTATTTTGTATAATGCATTTAAAAACAATATTCTGAGAAGAGGTCCACAGTCTTACCAGAAAGCCAAAGGAGTTCACAACTCAAAAAATATTAGGAGCATTTTAAAATGGAAGGTAAAAAGTAGCTGTGTAAGTAAGACATCTTGTTTAAAATGCAGACCACCCGTATAAGAGGCTACACATCCTATTTCTGAAGGACTGAGGCTTCTCCAGGAACTAAGACTCCCCCGTCCCACTCATCTGGACTCCAGATAATTCCCCAAACCTTAAAGATGGTTGGTTATGGGGCTTGCTCACAGTACTTAATAAATTGTTCAAAAACGATAATACACCTGTCCATTTCTCCATCAAGACAAGCTCAGACATTGCACTAAGCACAGGGGATAACAAAGATGAATACAAATTCCCACCTGTCCTTAAGGAGAGTGGCCAACCAAGGTATATGGAGAAAAAAATGATTGATTACAATACAACACAAGGGAGGGAACCTAAGCTGACCTAGGCACAGGGCTGGCAAGGATAGCACTTGCAAAGTGTGAACCTTCTTGACTTTATACCTTTTTATCCAGTACATCTATCTTAATTTTACAAACAATGATACCTCAAATCAGCTGATCATACAGTTGTGTTTTTAGAGTGAAAGGTGTAATAGGCTGATCTTTACTAGGACATTTAGTTGATACAGAATGAGCTAGACACCTCTTTGTCCACATTCCAGCATTGAAATAACACCAAAAATAATAATGCTCTGATTAATTTGTTGGGTTGCAGGCTTGAGATTTTAAAATTTTTTGTATGTATGATATGCTTTAATTAAAAATATCTGGTTATAAAAAGATACAAGGTAGGAAAGACATGCCTATCGGCATGAATGGTAAGTTCTGAACCAAGGTTAAAAGAAAATAAAATTCACAATGGTAAGCTCTGAACCAAGGGTAAAAGAAAATAAAATTCACAAAAGCTAACAGACTTTTCATAGCTATGTTCCCAACCTTCTTTTTCTTGTTATTGAAGGAGATTAAATAACTTTTCTTGTCTTTAATTTCTTATTTTAAAAAAATAGGGAAAAAATACTAAAAAATTTAAAAGTTCAAAAATCTCTTTTTCTTTTGCTAACTTGTTAGAAATAATTATAACAAAATATACATATATATTTTGACTTGTGGTCTCACTCTGCCACCCAGGCTGGAGTACAGTGGCATGATCATGGTTCACTGTAGCCATGACCTCCTGAGCTCAGATGGTCCTTCTACCTCAGCCTCCTGAATAGCTGGGACTACAGAGATGCACTACCAGGCCTAAATAATTTTTTGAATTTTTGTAGGACGAGGTCTTGGTATGTTGCCCAGGTTGGTCAAGAATTCCTGGGCTCAAGCAATCCTCCCACTTTGGCCTCCCAAAGTGCTGGGATTGGTGGCGTGAGCCATTGTGCCTAGTGAAATAAACATACATTTAAATGAAAATATTCTATTTACTATAAATGTTATTTTCAGGAATTTGTGAAACGTTGGGTATTACAGAATTGGGTCTGAGTTTAGACACTTAAATGAAAATCCATTAATAACTCTCTCCTATAAATGTGGTTATTCAAGAGCATCACCACTCATAGAGGCTAGGAACGACGACAGTCCGTGTGTTATATCCAGTGTCTTACCTCTTAGTATAAAGTGGAGAATCACTTCCATTTTATCCCCTTGAGTATTTAATCATGAATCAAATGGTATTTAGGTCAAATGAGCTCCACATTGAATTATTTTTCTAAGTAAGATAATCTGAAATGTCTTACTTCAAAATGAGCTTACCTCAAGTTGAACCCTTTGTTCTAAATTCTTGTATGATCTCTGTAATAACTCCCGGGTTCCAAGGACTCCATACCACATCAAGTTTTTAGTTCGGCTCCTGAAAACAAATGTTGGCAGGCAGTTTCAGGAAGTTTTACTCATTTACTTCTCAAAGGCAGAGCAAACAAAAAAGATAATAAATAAAATTAAAGTAAAATTGCCTTTATGTAATAACATTATTACTATTTCCAAAATTACCTGCATTTTTCAGGGTGCTCCTCTCTCTTATTATTAAATTCTAATGAAATTTTTGCATCTAATCCAATCCCAAAGTAATTGTTCATGACACATTTTTCTGAATATCCATCTCTATAATCATAAGGAAAAGCACGTAAAAGTCAATTTCAGGTTCATTACAATTACAACTTGTACACAAAATAGCACTTAAAACTACCTAAGCTTCCATTCCTCACAGAAGATTATAAACTTATCAATAATCACTTCCTATTTACATGCCATGTGTATAACCACAAGACGTACAATTTCTGGTGCAGGTGATATCAAGGGATGGTGAGCAAGGTAAACAGAATAGAATTACAGTTTGGTTTGCTACTAACTGCAGTAAAATTTTAGCTCTTCTGCCCTTTACATATGTCCTCATTATATAGATAAATGAGGTTGATGATGGGAGGGCCTTGTAATCAGGTACTAATGCTCTTCTCTTTTTTTTGATCATTACAGTCTCTTCCACTTCTACTTTTAACAGTGAACAAACATTTATGGAGGAAAAATAAACATTAGATCCCTGAGTCCAGGGGTTTGAGATCAGCCTGGGCAACTTGGTGAGATCTCGTCTCTACAATAAATCAAAAAATTAGCCAGGTGTGGTGTCACATGCTTGTGGTTCTAGCTACTTGGAAGGCAGAGGCAGAAGGATCACCTAGGCCCAGCAGGTAGAGGCTGCGGTGGCCGTGAGCCACTGCACTCCAGCTTGGGTGAGAGAGTAAGACTCCTACTAAAAAAAAAAAAAAAGAAAAATTAGATCTAATCCATCCTTGTAGGTGTACTGAAAAGTTTAAACTATTATACTGTCCTTGAGAAGTGTCATTACAGAATGAGACAGAGCATCCTGCAGAGCTAGGTTTTATGAGGAAAAAAGGGGATATAACAAAAGCAAAATTAAAAATGGAAGTAAAAGAAAGTATATCTTGAACTGTCTAAAAAATTTTAAGGAGTTTTGAGAAAGGAAGAGATCAGTGTAGGTCAGAAGTTTCCTGAAAAAAGTAAACCTAGAAAGAAGCTGGATGTGGAAAGATGACAGATTTGGTGAGCCCGAAAAGAAAGGAGGTAACAGGAACAGCAAAAATACAGGTATGAAGGCTCCACTGGGTAAAAAGAAAGATGAATAGAGTCATGGCTTCCTTTGCCAGGGGGTTACTCTCAAGAGAACGGGGCAGAAAAGGACTTGCCTCAGGAACAGATTGTGGAGACCACAGGATTTTTAAGGGTTCAATGGACTGATCATTATCAGCTTTTGACATTTTCTGATCATCCTTTTTGTATATGGAACCATATTTATTGTAATACATTTAAAATGCTACAATTAATATAAAACAGAAATGAGAAAAGTCAAAAGAAAATAATTGCAAAAGTATTTTCTTACACTGAATCTGGATCCGGATCAATAAATGGCGTGGCACCAAAAGGATCGATGTTTGCTAGTAACATTTTATTGATAATAGAACTTCCAGCAATGGAGGCAGCCAGTCCTGCTCTCAAACCTGGACAGAGAAATAAATGCATACAATAGTGCATGCTAAGAAAAAACAGAAAGAACCAGTCCATTCAAGCCTAATCTCAAATGTCTCACTCCCAGAGCACAGTTTTCAATGCCTAGTCTTCCTGTTAATCAAAACTAAGATGCATTAACATTTATGACTATAAGGTTTTTGATACTTCCCAGGATCTATATGTTATAAAAAAGAATTAAGGAGATGAGAACCTGAATAGAAGTTGATTTGTGACCTTTTCTCATTTACCATATCAATAATTCTTTAACTTCAACAAATACAAGTTATTTCCTTTGTTATAGCAAATAAGGTATTAAGACTGCAAGGAATTTATAATAAAGGCTGAATTACCCAAAATGTCATGGAGTTATCACTTCCACACTCTCAAAGCATAGATAATACTCAATTTAGAATGTAAAGAGATGTATTAAAGTGAAAACCTAGTGTTAGTGTCACGTATAAGTGGTAATGGCCAGGTGTAGTGGCTCATGCATAGAATCCAAGCATTTTAAGAGGCTGAGGTGGGAGGATCACTTGAGGCCAGGAGTTTGAGACTAGTCTGAGCAACACAGTGAGACCCTGTCTTTACAAAAATAAAAAATAAAGTGGTGATGCATGTCTATAGTCCTAGCTACTCAGGAGGCTAAGATGGGAGGATCACTTGAACTCAGGAGTCCAAGGCAGTAGTGAGCCATAATCACATCACTGCACTCTCTTTTTCAAAAAAACAAAAAAGACTCTCTCCCTCTCTAAAAAAAAAAAGTAATATATTAAATGCAGGTATTTGTGAATTTTGGAAGAATAGTATTGAATGTCAAAACTGAAGCATCCATCTTAACTTTGAATATGTAAACTTCCAAATTTATTTCAACATGTTTTCCACTAACTAGTTATGGTAGTTAAAACTAATGAATTTTATGATCTACTCAACCCAATATGAAGGCTAGAAACACTAAGTCTAGAAAGAAGATAACGTAATAGGGGTCTGAGAGATCAAACAAAAAAAGACAGAATAATGAAGAAAAACATGTCATGCATGGTGGGAAATACTAGGAAATTAGAAAAAAGAATCTTTTCTTCAACAAGCAGTCCTCTTCTCAACAAATGTGTTCTTTTTAGAGGATTTTTAACTAATAACGTTTAGCTGATTATCAAATAACTAAGAAGGATTTTATTCTATCATTTAATGTCACAGTTTTGAATATGCTATGGCAAACTTTGTTATGCCAATTTACTTTATGTCTAAACAAGTGAATAAAGAGAACTATAGATCTGGTGAGAGTAAGGAAAAATTTGGAGAGATGAGGAACCATACTCCAGTTGCCCCACAGAAAAGTGTAATGTTTTCTAAAAATGTTTTAGGGTTAGCCATATTCATTCACAGCTTCATCCCAGAGGGGGCATCCCACAGTTCCCAGTTGGAATAGAAACACAACTTCTAAACCTGGAGGCCTTTCCAGAACCAGGCTGGTTCCAGATTTATCTTCTTTCTTTCAATATTTTTATTGTCATATAATTCACACACCATAAAATCCCCCCTTTTAAATGTTTTTAGATAGTGTGGTTATTTGTAGTATGTACACAAAGTTAAATAACCATCACTACTAGCTTTAAACAAATCTGTCTAAAACTAGAGATGGCAAAACACACACACACACACACACACACACACAAACAAACTCCTCCAAAACTATTACTATGTAACTCTAGAACTAGAGACCCTGTACCCATTTTCAAGCCTCCTCTCCCCCCACCCCAGGTTCCTGGAAACCACTAATCTACTTTCTCTCTCTATGGATTTGACAGTTCTGCACATTTCATATAAATAGAATCATGTACTATTTGGCTTTTATGCTCATCTTCTTTCACTTGGCATAATGTTTTCATGGATGTTCATGCTGTAGTATGTATTACTGTTTCATTCTTTTGAATGGCTCAATAATATTCCATTGTAGGGATATACTATTTTTGTTTATCCATTCAACTGTTGGATATTTGGGTTGTTTTTTGGGCTATTGTGAATGCAACTATAAATAGTGTGCAAGTTTTTGTGAAGACACATATCCTCAATTCTTAATTCTTTTGGGTATATACTGAGTAGTGAAATTGCTGGGTTATATGTTAAATATGTTTAATTTTTTTAGGAACTGCCAAACTATTTCTCAAAATGGCTGCATCATTTTAAATTCCTGTCACCAATGTATGAAAATTCCAACATCTTTATATCCTTGCCAATATTTGTTTTTATCAGTTTTGGTGATAGTCATCCTAGTGGCATAGAGGGGCACCTCCTTATGGCTTTATTTTGCATTTCCCTTATGACTGAGATCATTAGGCATCTTTTCATGTGTTTATTGGCTATTTATATATCTTCTCTGGAAAATGTCTATCCGGATCCCTTTCTCATTTTAAAATTGAGAGGTTTGTCTTCTAATTGTTGAAGTTTAAGAGTTCTTTGCCTGCCTGGGCAACTTGGCGAGACCTCATCTCTACAATAAATCAAAAATTAGCCGGGCGTGGTAGTGCGTGCCTGTAGTTCCAGCTACTTGGAAGGCTGAAGTGGAAGGATCACCGGAGCCCAGCAGGTCGAGGCTGCGGTGGCCGGGAGCGGCCACTGCACTCCAGTCTGGGCTACAGAGTGAGACTCCAACTCAAAAAAAAAACAACAACAAAAAGAGTTCTTTACATATTCTGGATACTAGTCACTTACCAGATATATTAATTGTAAATTCTTGAGTTGTCATTTTACTTTCTTGATAGTGCTCTTTGATTCACAAAACTCTTTAACTTTTATAAAGTCCAATGTATCTATTTTTTTGTTGTTGCTTGTACTTCTTTTCCTAGCTAAGAAACCACTGCTTAACAAGGTTATGAACATTTTTGTCTACCATGTATAAAAATGACTACAGAGAAATTTATGGCTTAAAACCAAACAGAAAACTTAAAAAGTAATAGAATAAAAAAAATCAGGTTTACTTCGAGTACTTAATAAATGCAGGCTCCTGGGTACTACTCTAGAACTCAGGACAGGGCCTGGAGATATGTGTTTTAATACTTTCTAGACAATTGTTATTATACATGGAAGAATCTAAGGACTTGGATTCTGACTGATAAGTGTGCCAAGAACATTCTCCTAAAAGAACATTTATCTGTAAGAACACATTCCTATAGTTCATGGAAATGAGCACTTACACAATTTCACAGAAATATTTTAAAATATACCATATTTTAAAATCTGTACTACCTGGGCAGATTATTCTGGTATTGAGCACAGGAAGATTTTCTTTGCTGGCTGCCACTGCTGGGCCAGGGACAAAATCAGTTTGGGAATGGCCATAACTTGCTCGGGCATCTGGAGATCTAGGTGCAGTTTTAACTGTTGGCAAAAAGTCCAAATTAAAAAGAAATAATGATAACGCTATAAAAATAAGCAAGCCCCTATAAATTTAAGACAAAAAATAATTGAATATCTGTTTAAGTCAATTGGTAGAACTGGAAATATCCATTGTGTTTACCTATTCTTTGACCATTGCTTTCATTTTTTAAGACTGACATGAATGAAATCTGCCACAGGCAAATGTCTTGCTCTCTCCTCTCAAATCAATGGAGATCAGTAGAAAATACATGTCTATCACATCTAAAGGTCTGTAATGCTCATAGTTTGAATATGATCAACCCACACTTAAAGATAAGTAAAAATTTTGAAGCCTTATGATTTCTGAAAATGGAACATATGTGTTATGTTATGATTTTTGAAAATGGAACACGTGTTATATACATAAGTCTTTTCTCATAAATATTCACTGAATGATCAAATTTAATTAATGTCATTCCTAGAGTTAACATGTGAAATATGAATTAACATTGTTCTCAATAAATGGAAGGAAAACCATATTTATTTAAAGTGAAATCAATATGCTTTTCCTGGACTTCTTAATTATTTATTCAAAATGATGATTTGCCCAAAAGAGTTCTATCATATTCTTATAAAAACTCAATTGCATTTAAAAAATTATTTCAAAACTTTCAATTTCAATTACTTTCAAGTAAACAAAAAGAAAGATTTAACTCTCTCTAAACTGAGGCAATTTAATGCAGAGAAAATCATCTTTAACTAATTCAGGAGCTATTGGTAGTTATTTTTAAAAAGCAGCAATTCTCAAACTCAATTTTAAAATACACTAAAACATAATTATCTTCACTTTACCTAAAATGAATTATAAGCTAACTGTATTAATCTTACATTCTGTGTTTTTCATTCAAAAATAGCCCAGTTGCACTAAAGAAAAGTATCAGTACAGCAACTCTTTTTTTCTTGATAGATGAAACTCCTGGACTAATTTCTGTTAAAAACAACTTTTTGATGTTCACCTCTGATAAAAAGCAGAGAGTATACTAATGACTAAGATTAATATTCCATTTCAGGTAACCAAATTAATGTTTCATGGTTCTTGTTAAATAAGGCATCTTATTGATTAAATTAATATACTGCATTTCTCATACCTCAGACATATGAATTATTATGTAATTTAATAATGTGACAATGTGCTTCAAAAAATAATGATTATTTAATACAGAAACACCCCTGAACATTTGCCATAATACTATAAGAAAGGGATTGGCATTAGCCAGAAACTGCTGAGGGGAATGGGCACGTAACATCAATAAGGGTACCTGATCTCAAATCAGGCAAAGTGGGGACCAAAGCGAGGCCCAAACTTTACCTGTACGATGACCACTTGTATACCTAATCTTGAATTATACCCCACTTTTTAAAATAAAATAAGCTATTTTGCAAAAGGTGCAAGTTGGGGAAGTCAATTTCTTCCTTTAATAATTTGGAATTAGAACACAAAAGTTACAGTTAGTTCATCCTCAGTTTAATTGTAAACTGAGAGGCTCCACAGCTGAGTCTGGGAAAGCAAGATTCATGAAAAGAAGAAAAAAAGAAAAAGAAGGTGGGGCGGAGCAGAGAGAGAGAGAAACAAGTAAAAATAAAGCCCAGTGAGAGAAGATCAGATTTCTGGAAAAAACACAGAGACACTTCTATTGCTAGTGTTCCCAATAAGTTGAATTATTAGCCAAAATAAAGACTTTTCTAAATCTATATCTATTTCAATAAAAATTTCTAGAGCAATCTATCTGCATTTTTAAAGTTTGTTTTTTTTTTTTTTACAGTTTACAGTGGAAGTGTCACATTTTAGAGAATATAGTAAGGTGGGGTGATAGCTGGTTGGAAAATCATTAGCAATGAAGGCCGAAAAACCAATCCTCCAAAGAGAGCCATCATCCTAGAGGGATTATCAAGCAGCATACTAGAAGGATGCTGTCATCAACCCTGCTTTAGTCAATATTCTTTGATAGTTGAAAACATCTAAGGTCTGCTTAACAATTCACAGACGAAATAAACTTGAGGTGATAGAATCACGCTTCAAAAGATCTTCTTTTTCTTTTTTTATTTTAGAAAGCAGGATTTATTGAGAGGATAGAAAAGCTCCCACGGTGGGAGGGGACCTGAAGGGGTTGCCCCCAAAGATTTTCACAGCATAAAATGATAGATCTAAATCCAAGAAATAGAAGTTCATAGGGTGAACTAAGTGTATAAACTACTACAATCAAGTTAAAAGAGAAATCTTGGGTAATCTCTGTAACAGCAAAAATGTTCATAATGAGTAGTGTATAGGTATCAAAGTGCTATTTGTAGTACAGAAAATATCTGAATAATTTTGTTCAGTTGGTGTGTCACATTTCAAGATATACATTGAACAAATGTGTGCAACCAGAAAAACAAAAGGTTTATAGTCATCAAGTTAAAGATTGGCAGAGGAACTTAGGATAGAACATCTGGAAACGAAGATGTAAGGTGTTGGAGGGGCCTATGATGCCATGAAAGTTGTTTTCAGCATCATTTGAGGGCTGCCACATGGAAGAAAAATAAAATACAGCTCAAGAGACAAAGTTATCTCCAATATAGTGAAATAATGCATGTAAAATTGTTCTTTAACCATAAGCACTACACAAAGGTCAGTAGTTGTTACTATCAACACTACCATACACAAGACCTAAAAATTACTGTAACCATTGGAGAAATGTAAGGGAGAAAATGGAAAGTCCAATACAAAGAATAACTTTCTAACAATTAGAAATGACCATAAGAGTGGAATGTATTGAAAGTGAATGGTTCAAAGACTCAATGACCATCTATCACAAGGGTCCTAGAGTATGCCTGCACTAGGTTGTATGCTGAACATGTGAGGTCTATGAAGTCGAATTTCAAAGTCTTCAAGAGTTTTAAGTACAATTAAGGTATATTCTCTCAAAATTAATGTAATTAGTAGCAGCAGCAGAAGCAGCAATAATAATGGTAACTGCATGAAATACTCATATAGCACTAGGTACCAGACACTACTCTAGGCACTTTGACATGTAGTAACCTACTCAGTCTTCACAATGACCTAATGAAGTAAGTATATTATTATCCTGACTTTAGAGATGGGGAAACCACAGAGAGGTTAAGTAATCTGCCCAAGTTTATATGCAATGAAAGTAAAAGCAAAAATGTAATGATTGCAAACAGTTCTGATATAATTATGTTGACTTTTCATGAATACCATGCATTCACACTATTATTTTCACACTATCTTCTCATCATAACATTTTAATGTCTGTTTTGTGTTTTTCCAGTAAATTGGAACCTTTTCCCTGATACGATATAAAATGTCAAAAGTATAAATTCATCTTCAATAAAAACCTAAAAGAAAAATAATTAACATTCTTCAGGTAATTGCATAACAATTTCACTGCAAAAATGATTTTGGCAAAGAAGGGGTTGTAACTGGAAGTCCTGTGGTCTTGAAGCTTAATTTATCAATAAGGTCTTTCAACCTAGAAAGTAGATCAGTGGAACTCAAGGGATGGCTGAATCACTTAAATGCCAAATTTTGTGCATGTGGGTGCTACAAGTTTTCTTACAATTCTCAAAGGAATCTGTGGGCCAAAATAGTCTAAATTAAAATCAGATAATTTAGGTGTTTATTCTCTCTTCAAGAAAATCAAGATATTTAATAATCCTTAGTCCCATAATCCTTAGTTTATTGTTATGTCTAGATTATGTGGTAAGAGAGAGATGTGAGAGGACTTGACAATAGTCTAAATAACCTGCTACCTTTATTTCTTTCATATTCAAGAAAGTCTAAGCTTTAACTTCCAAAAAGCCTTTTCAAAAACAAATGTACAAATAGTTTAAGTCAAACTAACTGACAAGCCTTTTGAAAACAAAAAGAAAACTAAATTTTATTTAATTCCAACATAATGTTATCATATTTTTCTTACCAGTTAATGACTCTTTTGTGTCATCATCTTTTAATTCTTCTCTAGATTCATCTGTTTCTGTGCTATCGTAATCGGATGATTGATTAACTGGTTCACAGGAGTGAACTGTGTGATCGTCCACAACTTGACGTAGGAAAAAGATAAATATTTGGGGGTAAGTAAAAATAAAATCCATTAATATTAAGTTATGCCCAGGAAAGGAAAGCTGAAATATATACCAAAAGAAATTCCATATTCACAAATAAACACTACTTAGCAATAAACTTGGGATTATAAGTACAAGAGATTGTAAAACTAAATTATGTTGTAAAATTATATTTTTTATCAAAATAAAAAAACATAAACATTTTAGAGAATGAAATACAAGTACAATTACAAATTACAATCTGTAAAGGGGTCTTTGAACATTAATTATGTATATTAAAATTAATTTGTTAGGCTGCTACTACAGTTCTAAGAAGTATACACATTATATTTATATGAAAAAATAAAATATGGGCAGAGCTTTTATAAACTAAATAAAATAACAGAAACATTTAGAAAATTAATGTTAAAAATATTTTTTAAGACCCACCTGGGCAACTTGGCAAGACCTCATCTCTACAATAAATCAAAAAAATTAGCTGGGTGTGGTAGCGCGCACCTGTAGTTCCAGCTACTTGGAAAGTTGAGTTGGAAGGATCGCCGAAGCCCAGCAGGTCAAGGCTGCGGTGGCTGGGAGTGGCCACTGCACTCCAGTCTGGGCGACAGAGTGAGACTCCAACTCAAAATATATATATATATATATTTTTTTTTTTTTATATTTTTAAAGTAGTTTACAAGTTTGATTTTCTTTAAGAATCCAATAGATTCCAATTATGAAAAAAACCCAAAATTTGAGAACCATTATTTAAATTTAAACAAAAAATTTAAACTTTCTATTTTAGATAGAATAAAAATGTTCCCATTTTTATTTTATGCATCATTAATATGCTGATCCTTACTATTACTAAAACAAAAAATTTTGTTATAATGGAATTTCATTACAAATTTCATATATCTTCTTCAATCTTGTCTCAAAAAAATGTTTTTTAAATGTGTCCAATAAGACCCTATGAAAACTCTATTAGGCTTGCAGTAGAAATACTGCCAACTTCTTCCAAAGCTAATTTTGTCAATGTGTACCTTTTCCAGCTTCCTCAATGACTTGCCTCACTGCTTTCTTTAAACTGTTTGCCCGTAACATTATTTCTCTTGGTTTGAAGGCTTTCTGGGAACAAGGTTTCGTAATGTCGTCTGCCAGCTGTTCCTTGCTTTCACCTAAGGACTCTTCACTTGAGGATTCCACAGGATCTTCTTCCACAAGGAGAGGGCCTATGCCCGGGAGAACAGGACCAGTGGGGGAATCTGAGTACAAAGCTTGGAGCAGTTGCTCAAGCTTCTCATTTAGGACTGAACACTGAGAATACAAAAATATGGTAATGAGAAAAAATTTTTAAAAAGAAGTCAGATCAGCAGACAAAAATACAAGAAAATTTTATGTACAATGTTTTGAAAGTCAAATTACTAGAGAGAAAAACACTAAAATTCAAATGGCTATCACCGTTCATTTTGCAGAAGTATTGGTTCAGAAAGCACCTAATTTAAAAATCTCCATTTAGTAGAGATAGAAAAAAAATAATTTAAATTAGTGTGGTTTTTTTTTTTTTAATTTGATGCCTTGATTGATGCTTACTAAACTAAATAATTTATAGTTTTAAAAAATTGGCACAATTCTTATGCAAAGCCTTTGATTTATACTTCTAAAATCATTCAGATGCCATTTCATAGATAACAGTCTTTACAACTTTTGTAGATATTTTTCCTTAAAAGACACTTTACTATAAAGTGATACATTATCCCCAAAATTATTCATTACAAAAAATTTACACTATATAAAACAAACTTTTTAAAAAAGTTATTCACTATGGCACCATTTTGAACATCATAAACTGCAGATCTGGCTGAATGTCGGCATGCTTAAAATCTTTGGTTTGCAAAAGAGGAAGCAGAGACTAAGGAATTATTGGCCCCAATAAATCATATGAAGGAAAATGCAGAAGGAGAAGGAAGAAAAAGAAGAGATATGCAGAAATAAAAGTATGTACTAGGCAGGCCCTTGTTTCTTTCTGCTTTTCTTGTATTATGAAGGATAAACAAATAGTTAGGATTGAAGCCGTTGATGCTACCCCCAATATAAGGGAGGGACCCAAAAAACCCCGAAATTATATATAAAAATTGTGTATTTATTCTTACATGTTTAAACTTTAGTCACCTTCAAAGTACTCTCTGATGCAATACAACTATCAAGATGCTTTTTCCACTGTTCAAAACCGTTTTTTAACTTGTCAATTTTGATGCCTTTCAGCACTACTGCCATTTTTTGTTTTTACCTCTTCCACACTGGCAAAATGTTTCCCTTTGAGAACTTTTTTCATTGGGGAAACAAACAAAAAAAGTCACTCAGGGAGAGATCAGGTGAATAGGGAGGGTGGGGCAGGGGGATCAGGGCATTTTTGGTCAAAAACTGCTGAACACTCAGCACAGTGTGGGCAGGTGTGCTTGTAGATCACCCATCATAAAATGGGCAAATGTGTTGAAAGAATCTCCAAAAAAAATTAACTGAAGCCGAATGCAGCCTCTCACAATGCTAGCTGGTACACTGATGCTAGCTGGAACACTTACAAGGGTCCTGCCCTCCAAAAAACAATTCCAGTTTTTTAGGGGGTTCCCTCTTGCATACCTTGTATCTCCATATAATTTCCTGTCCTTTTCCTCCTCCATTTATTTATCTTTCATGACATGTCATGACAAAGTTATAGCAGAAATAGTTTAGGGACTAAAGTGTGGCCAAAGAAAGTTTCTATGTTCTGAAATTCTTCACAGAATAGAAAGACAAGAAAAAGATGCTGAAAACTTCAAATGTATGTTGATCTTTTTTTTTTTCCCTCTCACCCAATCAAACCACCATCTACAGCCTAAATCTGGGGAAGCAAATTCCTTTGCAAGCCCAAGATTTCCAAGCCTTTCATAAGAATGCCCAGTCATAAATTTATGAAAGCAAAGACAGCAGCTTTTAAGGTTCAGTGAACTGTTATTACTTTAGCTCATGAAGGAGGAAAAAAATCTGCACAGAAATAGGCAATGTAAGAGAAACAGCACTTTGAAAGGGATCAAGGCTGTAACGTCTAGGGAATCCAAAGAAGCAAGCTGGGAGAGAGTTTGGCTGGCCAAAGTCTGCTTGGAAATGGAAAGCCCTTCCCCCACCCCACCAGAAGGCCCGCTGCACAGACTTTACCCCCCTGGTCTGACGGCTGCACATTTCCTGTTCAAGATGTCAGTCACTGGGAAAGAGTTGGGTTATGAAATTCAGTATTTTGGAGGGTTTTCAGCAATGTGGTTTTCCTACATATTAAAAAGTAACCATAAAATCAAGTATTTTAAAAAATCCTATCTGACCCAAAAGTAAGTTTTCTCTTGATTTAAGATGTTTGGCTGGAAAACCCCTGAATCAGCTTAGTTTTGAAACACAACTGGATGTTAACATGGTCAGTAACCAACTCTCATGCCCTGAAGGGTTCCTCTTACTTTACTGGACACTGCATCAGCTACAACAGCATTTTCCAACGTCTTGTCATATGTCTTCTCTACTTTGGCAACGAAGTCCTTTACAGTTTCACATAGCGTCCTTTGAGGAAAAGAAATTGAACAATTTGGTAAACTTTATAGGTTGATTCGCTTTGATTTGTAAACATATTTAAAAATAAACTCAATTAGACAAATAAGCTCAAATATCTGTCAAAATATCTAGGTCATTTGTGTATAAATCTGTACTGCTATCTGCTCTGTAGTACATCTCAGATAAGCTCAGGCCATGCTAAGTGATAAATACATACATGAATAAATCTTGTTCTATGTAATTAAAATGGATAGTAATTTTAGTGCTATAACAATGCTTCCTCAAATCTCATATTTAAATTATTACGAGGAAGAGTATTTTTAAATCCCATTTTTTAAAAAAGCATTATCTCCCACAACATACATTTTCATAACAGAAACCGCAGTGTTGAACAAACAAGGATAAGCTTATCACTTATGCTGTCATTCTTGATTTACTATTAATCATATGGGGTGGCTTGATAATATAATGCTCCTAAGAGGTTATGTATTATGCTGGAAACCAACCTGATACTTGAAATGAGTTACATTCTCTGTAAATGCATTTTTTTTAACTTAAGATAACAAATGCAATAAAATACAAGACCAATTTAACTCAGATCTTGTTAGTGTCAGCAATATGTGGTTTACTTGTTTCTTTTAATTACACTTGTTTTCTTTGCAATAGAAATAAACTATTAAAAAATAACCTACCGCAAAACTTTAAAATAAAATTTTAAAAAGTAACCTCAAACACTAACAAAATCTGTCTTTCAAAAGACTTTGGATCTGGTGTTGGGTTAAAAACAACAATCAACAGAATGATATATGATCAGCTTCTTTTAAAGCAAGGGCTTATGCTGATAGAATCAGACTATTTGAAAATTATAGTATTGTTCTCTGTCAGACATAAATGAAGGAATTAAAAGAAAAGACAAAAATAGAAGTTATTTTTTCTATTACACACAATTTTCTTTGGTAGGTGAGAGGCATAATGGAAAATTTACATATACTTAAGTATTAAGAAATTGAGCCATTTGATAGATGTAGGATACATACACACACAAATGCACACATTCAAAATCTTCACATTTATCACTAGAAAATAGGTTGCATTACTCCTAACAATTTTTTGTTATTTTTTGGTAATTGTTTCTAGATTTGACTAGGACAAAAGGTAGTATTTCCTAACACTCAACCTTCTTGATTGGCTTTTCAATCTCAAATTTATAAGATAATCTAGTTTACCACTTACTAGAGATGCATTCATGTAATTCACATCAAGCTTTGTCTTCTTTGTTCATGAATAATACTTCAGGGGATTTCTTGGGCTATATATGAGGCTATCATGAAATCTCTTCCGTGGGCTTTACCGAAAGTTTCTCTAAGATGTGCTACTTAGAAGGAGAGGAAACACTGGCATTGTCACCTCTTTGTGTAACTTCAAGATATAGATTTTTCTTGCCACTATTATAACACCGTCTCGATATAATTTCCTCTTGGGTTTTTGCATATGCCATAACACTGTCCAATAGCTACTTTTTTGGCACTTTACTCACTCCTAGAGATGGAGCCCTTCAGTCCATCTGCCTAGGAATAAAAGGGGTAGCAGAGGTGCCATTTCTCAGTGTGCCACAATGCTAAGGCAGTCAGAAGCTAACAGAGACAGTAAGATCCCGTGACACAAAGGCCAAGGGAGCTGAGGAATGGGAATATGAAGGTTAGGAGAGTACTTGCCACATAAGTGTGAAAAGAATTAGAAGAGAAGCTCTATTTTATGGTTCATTAAGTTCCATACTCCAGAAGCAATATAGGGTATTTACATTCTGGAGGAATGAATTAGCCTTCTATTAAATTGTGAATGTGGAGCTTTTGGGTTTTTTGAGTTAGAGTCTCATTCCGTTGCCCAGACTGGAGTGCAATGGCACGCTCATGGCCACCCCAGCGTTGACCCTCTGGGCTCCAGTGATCCTTCCACCTCAGCCCTCCAAAAAGCTGGAACTACAGGCACACACTTCCATGCCTGGCTAATTTTTGACCCATTATAGAGACCAGTTGCCTGGGTTGGTCGCGAACCCGCGGGCTTAGGCAATCCACTCACTCACTTTGGCCTCCCAAAGTGATGGGATCACAGGTTGAGCCACTGAGTCTAGCCGAATGTGGAGTTTTAAAAGTAGAAATAAAATATATACTTTAAGTACAAGGGTGACTCCCCCAAAAAAACAGAATTATCTTTTTGGCAGGTAGGACCCTTGTAGTACACTTGGATTTTGTTTCTCTGGTTCAAATGGTAAACCAAAGTCTTTATCTAGAAGTTTTGAGAAGTCTGCATCATGATTTGTAGAGGAAATGTCATTTGTGACAAACAGGTGACTGGTTCTTCCACCATAACAATGCACCCACCCATACCATGCAGAGTGTTCAGCAATTTTTGACCAAAAATGACATGATCACTGTGCTCCACCCTCTTTATTCACCCAATCGACTTTTTTTGTTTCCCCAGATGTAAAAAGTCCTCAAAGGGAAATGTTTTGCCATGAGGAAAAGGTGAAACAAAAAATGGCGGAAGCACTAAAAGACATAGAAATTGATGAGTTCAAAACTGTTTTGAACAGTGGAAACAGCATCTCAACAGGTGTAGTGCATCAAACAGGCAATACTTTGAAGGTAACTGAAGTTAAACATACAAGAAGAAATATACAATTTTTATATATACATTCCAGTTTTTTGGGACTCCCTGTATAGTATGATTTCAAAGTCATACCAACTAAGAACTTGCAAATTGGAGAAAAACTATTTTAAGATATATTTATAATGGTAACACAAAAGATATTCTCAAACGATACATACAGTTTCCTACTTTATACATAAAGACTTCCAGAAAATATGCAAAAATCAAATAAATAAAAGCGGAACATAGATTTTCCCATAAAGCTAAAAAACAGTTTTAATTTCTAATTACATCTTTAATATCAGACATAACTTTAAAAAAGATTTTAAAAATCTTTTTTAGCGACAAGGTCTTATTCTGTCCCTCAGGTGGAATGCGGTGGTGTGACCATAGCTCATTGTAGCCCAAACTCCTGGCATCAACAGATCCTCCCACCTCAGCCTCCCAAGTAGCTGGGACTACAGGTGCGTGCCACCACACATGGCTAGACAAAACTTTTGATGAGATTATTTCCAACATTTTATTTCTTTTTTTTTTTCTTTGAGTTGGAGTCTCACTCTGTCGCCCAGACTGGAGTGCAGTGGCTGCTCGCGCAGGCTTACAGGCTGAGCCACCGAGCCTGGCTCAACATTTTATTTCTTTAATTTTATATCTTCCTTCAAAGTTGAAAACAGTCAAATGTGTACACCAAGTATACAGCTGAGGTTAACAACAGTCCACATTTAACATGCTTTAAGATTTCTATCATCATCTCAATTATATTATATATATGAGGCCTTTACTTACTATCGCTATTACCAGTATCCTGAGTTATCGGCTTTCCACTTTGTTTTTAATATGAGCAAATGACAATAAAATATGTAAAACTACACTAAGATAAATATGACACTAGTACGCCAACAGAATCACAAATTGGCAAGTAGGGTCATCATATGAGAACCTGAAAAATGCATTTTTTCATTTAATATAAAAAGTTCCGCTTAGAAGTTAAGGATAATTTAAAGTATCAATGCATAATAAGCAAAAATTCCTAGCTATTTATGTGCTTTAAAAAAAGATTTTTTTTTTTTTGAGTTGGAGTCTCACTCTGTTGCCCAGACTGGAGTGCAGTGGCCGCTCCCGGCCACTGCAGCCTCGACCTGCTGGGCTCCAGCGATCCTTCCACCTCAGCCTTCCGAGTAGCCGGAATTACAGGCGTGCGCTACCACGCCCGGCTAATTTTTTGATTTATTGTAGAGATGAGGTCTCACCAGCCCAGGCAGGTCTTGAACCGCGAGCTCAAGCAATCCACTCACCTCAGCCTCCCAAAGGCGCGGGATTACAGGCTGAGCCACGGAGCCCAGCTTAAAAAAAGATTTTAAACAACGACCTCACCTCATCTATTAAATGAAGGTGTTGCCTAAATTTTCTCGAAAGTAAATTCTAAACTGTTATATGGTTCTATAGCAATGGCTCTAATCTTTCTGCTTGTTATCCTATTTTCTGAAAGTTGTATACACAGAACAAATTGCATTTATTTTAAAAGCTGTGGGTGAGTCAAAAACCTAATTAATTCCTACTGTTAATGCTACAAAGTTTAAAAACTACTGACCAAATAAAAGTAGAGACATATATTACAGTTAAAGATAAATTGCCTAATAACCTTGTTTCCAATTATATTTTTAACTTTTAAATTTTTTATTTTAAAATTGTGGGGTACAATTCAGGGCTAGGTATACAAATATTCATTATGCAGGTACCCTTGTTGACAAGGTGTGACACCCCTTCCCCAGGCAGATTCCAACTACTGTCAATCCCACCTCCCCATTCCCCCACCACTCCTTAGTTTCCCGCTACTGTCAATCCTTTTCTTATAGTATTACAATAGTTGTTCAAGGTCCACTTATGAGTGAGAACATGTGATACTCAGTTCTTTGTTTCTGTGAAAGATCACTCAGTATTATAGACTCTCAATTTTCATTAATAAATGGCATCTATGATTTTTTAATTTAAGCTTGTGATTCTCAGAAGATAACTCCTATTAATATACAAATTGATGAAATTCCAGTCAAAGTCGAAGAAATGTGTTTTAGATTAAAGTAATTTAGCCTAAAGCTGCCTCCTTGCATATTTTAAATGCAGCCTAAAGGTTTCTCTGTACATAGCGAACTGTAACATAACCGGATGTATAAACACACTGTACCCTACTCCTGCACCAATCACTGAGTTTTGGCCAATCAAAGGGAGCCAACTATTCAAAACGGGCTCAAATAAAACAAACGCTATGATGTAACCAATCCAGCTGTTTCTGTATCTCACTTCTGTTTTTGGGACCTCTCTTTTCCTTTTTCTGTCCGTAAATCTTATACCACACAGTCGCACCAGAACCTCTCTGAACATCTTCTGGTTTGAAGGCTGCCCAATTTGCGAATTGTTCTTTGCCAGTTAAACTCTGTTCAATTTAATTTATCCAAGGTTTTTCTTTTTAACACCTACATTAACTACTTTTAGTTAACCTACATATTAACTATGCTAATGGAATGCAGCTTTTCCATTAGTATTTAAACATTTAAAAAATAGCTGAATATAGTTAAGGCTACTGGGAGTTATTGCATGTAATAAATATAAACATGTGCATAAAATATAAACATGTGCAGAAGTGTTAAAATATTGACTTAGTAGTTTATCATTCAATAAATAAATAACATTACCGAGGTTGTGGTCACAAGGATGTGTGTGTGTGTGTGTGTGTGTGTGTGTGTGTGTGTGTGTGTGTGTGTGTTCTAATCACTGAGTCTTACTCTTGTGATTTGGGTACTTTACTATATACATTTCATACTTCAATAAGACATTTGTCCAAAAAGCAGAGGGAACCATTATAGATTTTTTTTACATGAACTGAAAACCCATTATAGATTTTTTTTTAGATTAGAAAATAAAGTTTATTTAGAAAGTAAATTAAAGAGAGAGCAAGAGGATTCACCTCCCCAAGGTAGAGAAGGAGGACAAAAGCCCCATTATAGATTTAAAAAAAATTTTTTTTGAGTCAGAGTCTTACT